ACGACACCGACATATTAAAGAAAAAACCTACTTTTTTGCCTATAAAATTCTCTCCTTGAAAAAAATTTTGTTGCCCAAAACAACCTGTTTACACTAAATGTTAAAGGTGACAATATACTAGTTTTGTTACTGTACAGCCTCAATAACTAAATTTCGTGTAAGCCATGATTGCCAGGAAGTTCCATGGTCCCATGGAAGCCAAGGGACTTCTACATATATATACTTCAGCAACAATTCAAAAAAGAGATGAGAATTACAAAAAGAGAACATCTAAGTTTTTCACATAGTACCTTAAGTTTGCAAGCAGGTGTGACAAAAGAAACAGAAATAGACACTTCTGTACTAGATAATTTCTGCGGATTCTAGTGCGAAAACAAGCAATATATTAAGTTGGTTTGGTAGGTTTTACTATGTTTTTATATACAAGTATATATATACAAACAAAAAATAGCCTCATACTCTCGACCAGTATTTGCATGCTATATAACTATACTAATTTCTATAACACCTATTAAAAATTAAAAAAGTTCAGAAAATTTGCTTTTCTCACAAATTTTAAGACTTTAGATGTCCTATATGTATAAAAATTTCGAAATTAATTGAACATTTTTTTCCATCTCATTGACTATAATTATAGAATTAGTTAAAAAATGTAAATTTGGGCAAACTTCAAATTTGTTTTTCAAAAAGGCACTGGCATTGAGAACTCGAAAACGTACCTGTAAAAGGGTGCTTGGTATAGCTTAGTAAATCACCGAACCATGAAGATAAAGTATTCCTACTAACTTCTGTTCAGAGATAAATTTCTCATTATTTTTTTTAAATTTTTGTGTTTTAGTCATCTTACATAGATGCTTTGAATTTACAAAAGGTAGCAAAAGCAACGTAAGAGAAGGTCCACGTTTACGAAACTCATTGGAGGGCAATCATTGTTCGTAATTGCCGTTATGTTGCTATCAGCATACTACTAAACGTGTATGATTAAATAAAGAAATTGTTAATTATCTGCAATCGCAGATGCAGGTACAACCAAATACATTTTTGTCCCCTTTGTGTTTTCATCATTCGATGTACCACGTACCATTCGCATCTACAGGAAAGTTGCAAAAACTTTAAGACTTTAATCCTGATTGAGAGGTGCGAGCAGAGTTCGTACATACAGGTAAGCTGTTGAACCCACAAACTTAAAGTTCGGTCAAGAGGTGCAACAGAGTTCGCACATACAGAGAAGTTGTAAAAACTCATAGACCTATATTATAATCAAGAGATAGGACAGAGTTTGAACGTTCAAGAAAGTTGCTAGAACTGAATAACCTAACTGTCGGCCAAGAGGTACACCACAGTTGATACGTATGGGCAAATTTATAGAATTGAAACATGTTACCCTTGGCCAAGAGATAGAGCAAGGTTTTCATGTATAAAGAAATCGTTAAAACTAAAATACTTGACTTCTGGTTCCTGCACAAGGATAGCATCCGCAGCTCAAACGACTTTTTACTAATTAATATTAAACTTTTCAACTTAGAATTTAGGCAAACACCATCACATGACCAGGTACAATGCCATTGAAAGACGCAATGTTGTTCACTATTGTTCTTTTTTAAAGTATAAGAACTACGTGTTCACTGCTAATAAAGTGTATTGTTTATGGTAAATGTATTATTAAACCAGAATTACATACCGGCCCTTTAGTGCCAGAAATTTCTAATATAAGAAAGTCTTGCTGACTTCAACGACTGTACCAAAGCTTTTCTTTTCGCTTAAGATATAATGTTCCAGCAGGGGCGATAGTTCGAGCAAACTGCAGTCGGTTAAATGACACTAAGGTGTATATCTCTGGCAAGATATTTTGTCCTTTAACATAAAGGTGATGGCATGCTGAATGCGCAAATACGTTCATAGAAAGGAATCGGTCGATGTTCCTACAGGCTTCTTACAATACACAACATTTGTTAACCGGTGAATCTTAAAATATCATTCTGCACAGCTCGAAATGTCGCAAATTTAATTTTTTCATCTTTGGTATCATGCAGTCGTACTCTTTTTGTCGGAGTAGGTAATATTAACTTATAACTGCTTTTTTTCTACAACATAGCTACTGTTAATTTAATTTCAGTTTCACTTCTTTGCAAGGTAATATATCAATGGACTGTCGTGCATGATTGATTTAAAAATCGAAGGAGGTATTGAGGTATGGAGATTAGTTTATATGAAGTGCCCACTTATATCGGGATTTGCGAGAGATCGATGACGCATATAGATAAACTAGCTTCTGCGTTTTTATGAATAACGGGCTCAGGTAGCCAGCATGATAGAGTAGTCACTGGGCAACTCTCTTCGGATTAGTCAGTCCAACTTTGTGAGAAACTAGAATAGTTAACACAGTTCGAAAGAACCGTGCTATGTCTTCTACTCATCCGCTATAGGTGTAATAAACTCAAAATAGTTTCTTCTTTCTCTCAAAATGATTGTGTCACTTGCTCAGGTTTCTCTACAATATTTGCAAGAGTTTTGCTTCAGAAGGACGCTTCAGGTCGCAAACAAAACACGTCATTAACCTCAAATTTAAAAGAAAGTGAGAAACCGTTAGAGAAAGACGGCTGCATCAACAACATCGGTCTTATGGAATATGAACTTATCTGTATACTCTCTGTTTAACCGGAAAAAAAAAGACCACACATGTGAATATAGGTGTTCGGCGTTTTATATTTTCTAACATGTTGTCATTTCAGTTCTTCTTTGCTCAAGGTCCGGAAATGCATATAGAAAAAGTTGTGTCAGCTCGCCTAACCTTGTAACACCAGAGCAACCTTGGGATTGAAACCGATCTGGTTTCTGCTATGGCAGTTGTCTTAATAGAAAGATTTTATGTGCTAATCAAATGTTTCAAATTGAGTTTTTGTCCTCCTCTACCGTTAGGCGCTCCATCAAGCAATAAGAAACACAAGGCAAAGTGTTTCTACGCCCGGATTCAAGTCTAGACCACCACTTATCTCTAGGTTTAGGAAGCAAAGATTTATTATGCTACTACAAGGGAAATCAATTGAAGTAAGCATATTCTGCGTTACCTGAATAGCGCAACGTATTCCGTAGAACAACGCGCTTTTTGAAAATGTTGTTCGGTGTTTTGTCTATAGAATATCATTATTCCATGTTTTTAGAACTTCATTCGAATATACGGGACATCTCTTCGTTACTGCTTTTTGTCGGGTAAATTAAATAGTTACGATCTTAATTATTTTATATGGTAATTGATAGGTGCATATACTATGCTGAAAAATACCAACAACGCCATAGATTTGAAAGGTTTTTAAAATCGCTATGCAGTAAAAATCTAGTCTTTTCTAGTATACGTTACTAGCTTCCTCTGACAGAGGTTTAGCCATCCAAGCCACCGCATTGAATGGAGTAAATTTATATGCCCATGCAAGTTGTGTGATACTTGCCATATATGAGAAATCGGGCACTAGGCTGACGATGAAGTTTTTAATATTCACTTGAACTGTCAATCAATCTAATGGTTAAAAATAATACGTAATAGTTATAGGTAATATATCGTAACCATCTTTTCACAACGAGATTAGTGCTAAGTCATTTGAGGTGAGGCCAACCTAGCGCCACTTCTACCAACTTTACAAAAAATAATAGCTTCATAAAAGAAAAAGCAATCTTCTAGCGTTTAAGACATGGCGTTCTCATGTTATAAGATAAACTGCACAACATTTTTCGATTCATTATGACGAAATTATATTGCTCACTATATACACAACATAGTAGAAAGCACCGAGTATATTCCGCTGTCGCTGTTTTACACTGTCGTACTACCATAATCACGAAGAGAATGCGTGAGGTGCGCCCTAAATAGGTTAAGCGTTTAATTCTACTTACTTCATTGAATGTGGCATTAATATTACATCCCTAATAATCGTATCACTTTTAATTTTCACAATCTGTAATATAGTCTGCTTGACGTAAGAGGGTCCTCAAATAAGCTACTGTTACTGTAGCTTTTTAAGTGTTCTAACTAAATAGAGGGACATCTTCATTTATTAACATCAATGAATGGTTGATATTAACAGCGCGAATTCTTTGGCGTGATTTGTTTTTAAGAATTTAATCGTGACCTTCGATTTGGTGTTTACTAAACCGAAAAGTAGCATTAGTTTAATCCAACAGATTTTATGAGTGGCGTATAAAGTGTATGTGGGTCTTATAATAAGATCTATATATATATGTATATACTATACATATATAATTATATATATATATACTATACATTTATAATTATATATAATCACACGGAGTGGCGCTGTTGAGAATGTGCTGCTAAGACATTGACGTCGTCATGCTACTTCCTCGATGCCATTCATGGACATTACCAGCAGATTTTCGCAATTGGTCTACATCACTTGCATTCCCAATTTTGGCTGTCTAATACATAGGCCTCTTTGTGTCTTCTTTATTTAAAAACTATCTGAACTTGGATATGAATATTCAAATTTACCAATGAGAACTACTACTGATGATAGTATGATAGTTGTAAACAACGCTGTTCATACTGGTTTGTAAACGAAACAGTATGGACAGTGTTGTATGTTTTAGGAGTCATTAATCTTATACTCACTCTACATTCTACTCACACATCTTTTGGCTCGGCTGGAACCTTGTTGCTTGCACCGTTAGCATATGCGCCTCGTCGGTGCTCCCATCAGAATTCTACCATGCTGAATATAATAAATATAAACAACAATGTATTCCAATCGTAGCACTCCAATCACCATATGGAAATTACATCAAATAAACTCCTATAAAACAATATAATAATTTTAGGTTTGTCTATCCGACTTTGAGTAGTAAACTGACCTTGAGATGCATGATATCGACCATTATCAAAAACCACTATTCACTGCTCTGAAGGCTTGAAAAACTACCCGATATTTTGTCTTGTTAGCTATTCGACCTCGCTCGTAGTCACGATCTACATAAATAACAACACTTGCTTGTAAACAAATTGCTCCTTAGTTTATTTTCCATACTCCATCGTAAAATTCTAATTGGAATCGGGCTATACATTAGACAACGACTTGTTCCCTCCAACCCACTCGCACATGCACACACTTATCTCAGTATTTATCCACGCTTCATTATATATTACATAAGTCCTCGCGCATTGCCCATCCTGATTCTCCAGGACTTTTCGTTCTGTTCTCGAAGACGTATCTATTATACCTATAAACAGGGTGAATATATATATATACATATATATATACATATATATATACATATATATATACATATACATATATACATATATATATATAACAATTCCACGTTGCGTATGTCAACTTCGCATTGACTAAGCAAAGCATTTTACTACGTACTGTAATTCTATTTCCCTGGAGAGTGCTTTAAGTCCGGTACATGAGTCCACGTCGTTTTTACCTTTTGCAGTTGTTAAATCAACGAAAAACCATAAACCTCAGTTACGAGGAATCGCAGTGAACTACTAGGAGCAAGCTAAGCGAGTTTCAAATGCACACCGCCAACCGGCCTAAGAATAAACTGTTTTGTTTTCTTGTTTATTTTTGCGTGTCATGTACCCTTTGTTTCTTCTTCTATTATGTAGGAAATTCTATAAACCTAAATGACTAAAGAAATGACAACTTTCGATGTATCGTATATCCACTAACAGTATTTGGCCTTTCCTCCAATGCAATACTTCGTCGTAAATATTTCTTTTACTGTGTGCTTACACACAACTTGCATCTACCCAAATACGGCTGCAGTCCTCAGGCCTGTGTTCGTCTGCATTTCGCTCTGCCCAACCATATCTATATTGTGCATACTGCTGCTTGATAATTTTGACGAGAGGATAATTTACTATGTTGTAGTTCAAAAACGCACAACGCAGCTTTCCGTTACTGACCTCAACTAAGCATCGAGGTCTGAGACCATGAGGCTTTCGTTCCTAGCTAAACCAAATTCTATAAAAGATGGCGGATCTTCCTCACTTCCAGGTGCAGGCTGACACGGTATCTTCCGTCGTGGATAGCTAGTGTGAATCTCGAAATTGTCTGGTGCCTCCGAATGACAAAGGACATAATAGTAGAGATACTAGAAGCACACAACACAAAAAATGATAAAATAGGTCTGTTTACACGACCATATCTTTACTATGTTATAACAAATAACTAGCTTTATTCACACAAATCGTTGGCGGAGCTTGAAACCGGCGACCCCTAATCTCTTTCAAGCAGTGGCTTGGCCGTCCTACTCTACCGTTGTGTTGTCATTTTAGTGAGCTGTTTACTCTATTCCGTCTATTATGTGTAAAATCGATACAATATTTGCAAAAAAAGTCTAGCACACTAAAAGAATGACGGACGCTGATTCATGTTTTGTTATGTTACGTAAATATGTAAGAAAAAATGTTTAAACATTTTTTGTTACATAGTTACGAGACAAATATAAGAATTAATTTCGTGGACGATCGCGTTTGGGCCATAAGATTGTTAAACTTTTTGAACAGCTTTTGTGAAATTGTAACTAACTAAAGTTAATTATTCAAGAATAATGAAAATTTAAAAAAATAGGTACCCAAAAAATGTAATATTATGCATTATTTATGTTGTCTATTATTGGTTCGAGGCCTACATGCTTTAAAGGCGAACTTTAGTTCCACATGCTTAAGTAAACACGGTGATCAGAAAATGTGATCGGTGGATCTGCGACGAATCTCGATTCGACAATGTAACCGAGGCATGTCGCTTAAACTCGTCCGCAATTATAGCGTACACGCATGGTCTTCTGTCAAGGACTTTAGTAGCTGTTCAAACCTAAATTTCACCTCGAGTCCTAGCGTAGATAATTGAAAGCGTTCTTCTTCTAATTTCCGTGGACTGACAGTTCGCCGATTTGTGAACAACACACACCTTTCCTACTTTTCCCGTCCAAGTTTTAAAAAAATATTCAAATTCTTCGGTTGAAAACCACATTTTGTTGGCCACCAGCCAACCAGTATTTCAACGAACTCACGTTTTTGACCTTTACTACAGCAGGATCTATATTGTTAGGATGCTTTAATAGAATAAGACAACTGAATTTATTAGAACCATCTTTCCTACCGCGAGAAGTCATTGGGTTATTGCCGCATAGCGCATAAACATGACAAAAAAATCTGGGTTTTAGCTCTTTCATTCATCATGTATGTTGAAATAATTTGAGCGTGCATGAATTCGATACAACGTTAGATACTTCTAACAGCTTCTAGGAAAGAGTGATTGTAACGTGAACAAAGGGTACTCTCGCCCTCCTCGAGATTTCGTCGATAAGTTACCGTAACCCAAGCTGAAAGCTTATCAACATTCGGTGTTAACCAACAGAAAAATAACAAAGGCGCGAAACGGATTATCAGGTGCGATAAACGACTTCAATCTCCAATTTACCTAGATTGTTGTCATCGATATGCTTGATATCAATCGCTGAATTGCTGCCGATGTAAGTTAGCAACCACAGAAGGCAGAAAATGCATGAATCATATCGTATTTAAAGAAAACACTTAGCTTTCAGGATTTTGCTCAGGATGGACAAACTTTCAACTCACAAAGCCGAACCGATTAGCGATGATTTTAGTGTTTTTCGGCGTATTTTAGCTTTTAAATATTACTTTTAAACGACATAGTGTCAAGAACCACAAAAAAAGTCTAACAAACGTTCATCGGTGAAAAGCGTCTTTAAACTCTGTCGCTTCAATGAGTGATAAGTCCTATATACGAGTCTTTACCGAATTGAAAACGAGCCTCATTTTTGCACTTACGCATATTAACTTGTCAATTCTGAACCGGAAGGCATACCTTCATGGAATGCGTCTGAAGGAATCGTCGATCGATTCTTTTTCCAGAAGGCAATCGAAGTGCTAGCTGAATAGCACCCTCGTCCTCTTTGGCGGGTTCAGCGGGAACCTGCCGGGCCAGTTCGACTTTCTCACGCTCTCGTAATTCGGCGGCACGAGCTTCCTCAGCGGCTTGGCGAGCTGCCGCTTCTTCTGCGTCCTACAGTAGTACATAAGATTCAGCTCGTTAAGGCATATTTTTATTATAAATCTTTTCTCTAACCTTATTCCCATTTAAGCACGTATAATTATTACATACGCCAACCTATGCAGAGATGACGTCTAAAACGTATTACAAGGATTTCTCCTGTAAGGGCCTATACCTATCGAGAGCTTCAGCGTTAAGTAATGAAATAATTTTATAAATGTTTGTTAGTGACAATAGTTAGGCACAATCAGATACTGTCATAAAATCATTTTGAATAGTCTGATTAGAATGCGACTAAATCTATAGTTGTATAATGACAGGAATTATTAAGTTTTTATTAAGGGACGTTACACATCGGTAAATAGCGCACGGTTGTTTCTGGATTTTGAATATATGTTTTCGTGTTTCCCGTAGTAATCCAGATTTTTATATTGCTCTACGAGGTTTGTAAATCTTTACGTTATATTCATGACATTACCATACTAATGAAAATTCCTTAGAAAAACTTACTCGTTTACGCTGTTCCTCTTCGCGTTTTTTACGCGCTTTCTCTTGATCTGCCCTGAGAGACTGAAGGTAAGCCTCGTCCTGTTGTTGCCTTAAGGTCTGATTTACGGTTCTTTCATTCCTACAGAAGTAGAGTACAGTAAAACAAAATTGGCTGAAAAAAATCAGGTTACTATACTCCTACTATAACTCGCGGACGCACACTTAATTAAGCCTTACCAAGTCTGACATACTAGCGTTGCAAGGAAATCTAGCACTTCATTGTCATATACAACAACTTTCCCACCGTGAAACGATTGGTTCAAAAACGGAATCGTCGATGTCGAGGTCTTGAAAATCTGTCGAGCTAATACTGTAAGAAGTTCCTGATTTTGCCTTTGCCATTTGTCTATCCCAAAATTTTGCACTGCGTTCTTCTCCAAGAAAAGTTCAGCTCTGATAGGATATCATCTTATAGGTGATAGTTTGGCCAGCCGATATCATAGAATGTCTCCGTGAGTTATGACTTTCAATCGAATGATTTTCTTTACAGATATGAAACGATAAGGATCTAAAAAATGGTAAACATGCTTTTATTGGGGTGTTTAGATAATGGAAACAGTAGTAATAGCGCATGTTCACCTTCCGAGAAATTTGATTGTTTATATTTAGGAACAAAAGAGGAGGAAAAGTCTTTCGTCATGCTTTATTGAATGGTACATAGATACTTATCTAGATCTGGTTTTTAATTTTAAAAACAAAACAAATTACAAGATTAAAAAATACGTCTGACACACAGTCTTAAATCTATATGACATTACTTTTCAAACAATATCCATGACTACAAAACGACTCTTAGATTTGATATTCATTTGTTGGGAGTTGAAGCGGCATGGCTTAAGCTAGGCCTGTACTCAACTATATTCGGTAGTATTTTAAATATACGATTGTCGCGGACATCTGAATCTACTATGTCAGTATTATGAAAGTATTTCTTAGTTAGTTTTGGCCGCTGTTCGAAATCGCTGTCTTAGAGAAAAACAGCACTTGAAAATCTTTTTTGTCTTTTTATTCGAACATTATAGAAGGTCCATAATTTCACACTTCAACAAGTCAATACTTATTGCACGAAAATTATGGACAAGTTGACAGACAGTTCTTTGTCGCTTATATTTAGACGACATACCTCTGTTTTCTCTATGTTCTGCACGTGTTCAAGTCTTATTGCAACAGTGCCGCACACGTCAAATGAACGCATATCAATAGTTCTCAGAATCTAAATCCGCGTAGGCCACCGTGTTCTATATACATAATAGGTCAAAAAGTGATCTTTGTCACTGTTGTGTTCTGACAACACGAACGGAGACACCAATAAACCGACCGCATCGGCCATTTTTAGCATACTGAATGACATTATTCAATTACCCTTTGACAAGTTTAAATTCGCAATTAATTATACAGCGAACGAAGAAATTATAGAGCGATATAATTATATAGAGGACTAACGAAAGCTAATTGCCTTTTGTCGTTTCGTTTTTCCACTAAAAATCGAATTACGTTTTATAATGATTGGCTGAACGATATTACTGAAAAATAATGGATATAGTTGTTGCAGTTGGTTACATACATATAACATTTTGTCTATTTTTTAGTTTTATACATACATATGAAATATTTGCACAATCGCTGCTATTACTTATTTCAAATTATCTTACAATGATCAGTAAATGCACATATAAACATGAATATACTTTTCGTCTACAACCCACCTAAAAAAGCCTCTGAAGTTCAATTAAAAAAAAAATGGAAAACACGAAATCTAAGTCTAACTCTAAGTAAATTAATTTTTTGATAGTCGAATTGACCAGCTGTCACGCACCTTTCAATCTGCGCCGCCCGAAGCGAAGCCTCATTGTCAGCTCTCACTGTCGTCAGTATACTTAGAAGTTGCTCAGGACTCTCGACTTGACCCTGAATTCGAGCTACTAGAGTCATACGTGACTCTCGTAGAACCACCACGCATACAAATGGATATGTGCGTTCCTTCAATGTTCTAGATACTTTATTAGTACGAGAAGGAAAGTCAATGAAGAAACATGTGTTGAGATCAAAGATGGTGATTTAACTATGGATGGATTTTTTCAACCTTTAAGTAAATAGAGTGGAATATCGTCACTGACATTATTTAATAGAAAATTATATTATTTTCTTTCCTCCTTTCATTATAAATTGTTAAAGATTACGTCATATCTATCATACTTATCCTAACTATATTAAGCAAAGAGTGTGCAGATTAGTGGCGGAAAAAGGTACCACACTGCTAGCACATCTCGAGATTATGATATTAATGTACCAAAAATTTAGTACTCAAAATATTTGTTTTTAAAGTCATTTTAAATAACTTTAAAAACAAATATGTTGATAATAAATAAGTTGATAATAAATAAATAAGTTGAAAAACTAGTTTCTTAAATATTTTAGGCAGTCCGTTATGCTTAAGTATGCCTAACGTGAAAATTTCGTGTAAGAGCTTAAAGAATTAGTTCTAAACAACGGATGCTTTGAGCCTCTAGAAACACTGTTTAGCTGCTTTTACGCTTGCACACTGTCTACTTTCACGTAACGTGTTACAGAAATTGATAGGTATCTTAACCCAACAAATAATCAGTATTAAGTCAGGTTTACCAAGCAATAGAAGGGGTTTATTTTAACATACATACGTCAACTGATTTGGCCTCACTGAAGTGTCCCGACCAAAACACACAACAATATCACGCCAATTTTTTTGTCAAACAGTTTTCGAAAAATGCAATTCAAAAGTTCAAGTCAATTACGCATAAAAAAGAGCGAAACTGGGTATTTTAGTTCGGCAAGGTTATTCATATTAACTTACACTTCGTAAGTTTTAGGCCCGTTTTCAATATCAATGGTCTTTAGATATCCACTAAGATGTGAAGAATCTACCTTTATTTGGACATCTACCTGTGTTAAGCATTAAAAAAGCCTTATAAATCTAATTAGGGTTTATTAAGGCTTAATTTAAGGTTAATATAATAAATCAACATCTTCTTCTAAATAACTATGTAAACTATGATAAATAATGACGAATCCATGAAGACGAAGACTTTAAAACTATTGTATCGAACGAGTAAATAACTCCTGATATTACAACACTGACCTTTATGTCCTTCGGGCAATTGTACGGAACAACCCCAAACAAGCATGTGCTGTCCTAACCAGTTGACCACCTCAGGGGTACAGAGTACTCTCCGGCAGAAGTGGTCAGTGTCCTCGTGCGAGGGGTTATGCAAATAGACAAGCAGGAAGCACAATTCAGCTTTCGCCCTAGATAGAGCCTATGGAAGCAAAAAAAAAGGAAGTTTGCTTTCGTAATTGAGCTTCGCCCTAAAATATGAAGCTCTAAAGCCACTAATTTCTACGCAGTCTCTATTTCAGTAGAGATTCGGTAGAAAGAATGCCGAATAAAATTATTAATGTTATTATTTTTATGGAAAAACCCACACCTAAGCATGGGACTCAGCTTGTCCTTGATCTTGCTTAGATGTTTCTTTGAAAGTCTAGTGGAAGAAGACAACACCTTGGCAATAATGTATCCATGCAGATACACCTGCCTTTGATATTTGATAGGTGAGCTTAGGATGCTAAGCGAAAAGCACTCCTTCCAAATCAATATTTTGGGTAACATTACTTTACGCTAGGACATCGAGATTTAGTCTCCATTAAAAATTCTAGTTCGATTAATGATTATGAAAAACACAAGTGTACGTTAATTCATACGTGCGTTAATTTCTAAACTTATTATTTGTTTACATATAAGGGAAAGTAAAGCTATATACGCCACTCCGTTTTTTCTAGCAAAAAAACGACTGACTGATTTAACATTTCAGTGCTACCAAATTTTCAGATCTCATAAAATCTTTAACGATTTAAAGCGATTTGCGTTGTTCGATTTTTCCTTTAACCAAATTCCAAAGGTGAGCTATAAGAAACAGCTAAGCACTTTTTTCGGATTTCATCTAATTTCTGCTGAACGATAAAGAAGTAAAATCACAACCGTACAACGGCTCTGCCAAGGCATTATACTTTCACTCTTGTTGTATAATATGTCGTTACATGTGGCTGTCTCTAAAAAGACCTCTTACGACTTCAGTGGCGTAACGCATTGTTTAAACAAAGGAATATCGCAATACATTGCGAAAGATGATGGCCATAAATTAGAATTCATCATGGATAATTGTTAGGATGTTACAAGCGAATCAGGCACTCTTCCGCATTGAATGATTTTTGAACTAGGCATCGAAACTGACATGGAAACCGGCCGAGTTCACTTCCGAAAATAATTCAAAAAAGAAAAATTATCCGCCTCATGAATTCAGTGACAAAGTTTTTGTTTCTGGAAGTCCACCGGATTCACTTACGCTTAGTATTGGTTCCAAAATAATGTATAATTCTGGTAGTTATACAGGCTTCGTTTCGGTCCAGTTAGGTTTCCAGAATTGTGCGCCCATATAACAGTTATTGCGCTTTTTGCTTTATGAACAGAATGGAACTTTCGGAGATGTCAGGTACCTGCGTTAATCAACACGCGGCTTCACACTGCGCAACAGAAACTGTGTCATCGTAAAACTATAGTGGATGAATTATAATCCTTAATTTGCGTAACTCAGCAGTATACGATTAGAAAACATCGGCTTCTTCACCCAAAATAAGCCAAAGAAAAGGATTTTTCCTTAAACTTTCTGAAATGACTGATTGATTCATATGAAATCGTTATCATTACTGGTCCCTACATCCCGTTCCAGGTCCATCGTACTGCACACTGTGGCGCTACATAGGTCAACGATGAGGGTGTCAGCAAGTTCTATTTCCTTGAAAAATGAATGATCAAAAAAGATCGTAGTGAGCTTTTTTCGGTCACATAAAAGAAGATTGACAAGTATATTACTATATATTGTTTCTTTCGCGCGGCACCGGTTGTTTCCAAGTGGTACACCGGTAGTGTTAGGTGAATAATTCGCTGTTTTCTCTCTTATGTATATCACATTGAAATGGCTTTTGGAGTAAATGATTTTTTAATACAGGTTAGAAGTACTTTTTTATTTTTTTACACACTATTCTCAGCGCTCTGGCAGCTTCTGGACAGTCCTACACTTACCACTTGCATTCCCATACGTAATTTATCTATAGCTTAAATCTGTATAATTAAATCTGTAGTGCAATATGGTTGGTCACCAGCTGGCCTTTTTAAAGGATGGCGAGCCCTATAATCATACGGACTTAGACTAGGAGAATTAGCAGGTTGAAGCCAGATATGTTGGATATTTTTTGCTCAATCCAAGAAGTAATTAAGACATGGTTATAAGGTCTGGCATTATCATCAAGTAATCCGACTGCGTGTTTTCGATTGCTGTTATAACAGTCCATAAGTCTCTTAAGGAACTCGAGATAGCGGGCTGCATTTATTGATTTATTTTCTCATAGTAATAGATGCTTCTGATGTCCATTGCTAACACTCCCATTACCTTACGTCCAAATTAACAGGACAATGCCACCAGACTCGATTGGGGCACAGCCTTGACTTCCGCGTGCTGATATCTAGTCACCTAGTTAAGCTAGCCTCCAACACCCCAATCTCCGTTCTTAGAACATTTACACCAGTCATGTACTGTGCTTTCGCTTCTTCACCAATCTTTGATGAATCTCCGCAACACTGTGGCACGGAGACTGTTTTTTTCTGAATTCCTGTAGATGCATTTTACCTAAAGTAGATTTAACCTGTCTCTCACAGGTTTCTAGAAGACGTATTTTGCAGTCAAATTTCGCCTGCTAACGGCGTGTAGCTTAAGTTTTCAAAGTCTGCCAGATTTGCTTGCATCAGCCATATTTATATATATTATGCACATTTGTAAATTCATATATGCGTTATCAAGTCTCTAATGTAGTTATTAGTAAGTTTCGACCGCTTGTTATGGCAACACGCGACAACTACCGTATAACTTTTAGAATAAATACGCATTGACAGCCATATGCTAGCAACGATTGGACGGAGTTTGCAAGGCCCTCATATACCACAATCTTGTTTATTCACTTATAGAAATTGTTAGAAATATGTCTCACTTCAGAAAGCAATTTTCATTAAGCGTCATAATTAAAAGGATTTAGGAAAAAAGAAAACAAATCAAAAGATTCTATCACAGCTGGTATTTGGAACATGCGGCAAACGTGTATTGCTTGGCACATATATATATATATATATATATAATATATATATATATATATATATATATATATCGAAAAAATCAGAACCTCTGTATTTAAAAGAAAACCCATGTTTAATGCTCATTCCACAAATGACAAATTGTCTACCTCTTAGATGGAATTGCTTACAAATTTTATTATGACCGAAAGCCATTCGCAAATGTTAATCATCTGCATCAATAAATGGTTATCTGAATACCTAGAACATAGTTTTTCTACTAAGTACTAAGTAGCCGCTTGAGAACCGGCCGGGCAAGGTTTGCTGTACCGAGGTTGTCCGATTATCCATAACACGGTTACGTCGCTGTCACTACGCTGTACCCGTACGCATCTTGGTTTCATTTGAAACTGATCCCCTCTCTAATTGCAGGTTCCTTTGAATAGAGGCAAATAAACTCCGGTAACCGTTACATCGATTTACCATCTTCCTGGCCTAAGAGTCGACCCCGATATAAAAGCGCTTTAATATAAGCGATGTTGTTCTTCAAAATTGGGCTCGCGCCTTCTGTAACAGCCCAGTGTTCGCTTTTACTCAACACCTTAGCCTCGTTAACAAATGCGTACCCAGAAGCCTCTGCCCCCGGCGTGATGCCTGATAATAATCTTCTTGAAACCATGGTGAACCAGCTGCATTTTAATAACATCGACCACTTTAGGGCTCCCAGTTCCTTCAATGAAAACGACACGTATCGCACCACCCTAATGCACTCAATCTGTGTGCCGTCAGCGATCATTACAGCACATGGACAAGCTTTTCGCACTACCCATGGGTATTTTTGCCACAGTGAGGTTTTCGCTGTACCTTGTGGCATTCGATAGTCGTATCCCAGCTTTGGAAGGGCCCTGAAGCCAGACAGACGTCACGGTAGAGTAATACGGCAGCTCAACGTTTCGTTGGTAGCTCAATCACGGCCCTTAATTTTGCAGCTTGCTTAACTGTTGCATCCATTCTTGAATTAACTAGTTTTTTCTCAATTCAGTTTCTATCCGCTACGAATTGTACTATGTACACAATAGCACAAGAAGTATGCCTTGCCCTTGTATAGCGATAGCAATATAAATACCTATAATTTGATATATTATTGGCACGCGCCGTAACATCGATGTATAATGAGTGAAATAGAGTGACAGAAGCTGACGTACCTGGTTATAGCTGGTTTCGAGAAATGTTGGTACGAGAGGTCCGTATTTGTCAGTAAATTCTTTAATAAATTGACGGACGTTACCCTCAGAGTTTGTAAGTGCTAAACGAGAGTCATTTCTTATAAGCGATACTGCAAATCTCATGATATTGTAAATAGTCCGGAAAAAGAACGACAACGGCCATTGCAGCATGTACCACCTTAAAATACAATTCACGACAAGACCGATTAGTCCACTGGATTTTACACTGCTGTATCCATTCGCTAAAAAAAAGTTGGAAAATTAAATACATTCAACACCTTCCTAGGCAAGGAACACTAACATCAGAACTTAATTAGATAACTGCACTGCTTAATACTTACAAACTACGTCCTTTAGTTTAAGTACATAATGCAAAATTAATGCAAATCCTTGTAACGTCATAAATTCCATTATGTACAATAATCAAAGACACAGTCACATGCCTAAATACCCGAATGTCATCGATTCTGAATAATCTTTAATGGAATAATGCCCCGTGGCTTAACTACCAGGCGTAAGAAAGAATTGAATAGACCACACCCAAAGAAAACGGTTGAATTACTTCCTATAGAAGAACCATTATTAATAATCTTAGATCTTTCCTACACTGAACCATCTTGATTATTTCAAATAGGTAAACCTAAAACGGAAATTTTACAAATGTTTGCTGAAACAAAATTTACCCGAAACCAATCCATCCTCGTGGACGCCAATGCGAAAGTGTGTAATCCGCACCCTGAAAATTTTGATCGACTGTAGGTACGTCCTGTGTTCCCAGACGATCCCTGGTTGGTGATGAGGGTAAGTGAAGTGCGGTAGAAACAGCAGCTTCGAGATCCCACGAATGGGCACAGAGAATATCTCTACACCGTGAAAGGTCTTCAAAACCAGTGATTTCCTGCGATACAAGTTTCATTGTATTTTTCATAAAACGTGCAAATCCTTTGAACTGTGCAAGACTTCTTAGAACAACCTAGAAATATTTTTTAATATACTTTGTTTCGAATAGCTCGGCAAGCTAAATTAAAAAGCAAGTATCTCTGCCATGCCTTTCTAACGACTTCCTTGTATATCTTATTTTCCATGCAACAATCATATTTAACTGCATAGTTTTCAAACGTGTTCATCCTTCATGCTGTTGAAAGTTGTTTGACTATCCCTCAGACATTTACCGAAGCATTATGATTCGATCAGAAGTTCTGCATTTATTATGCGTCCCAAAGCGTACTTTACCCAAGAAGCAACAATAATTACTTTTCATACCAATAGTTAATTTGGCTTTAAATCTACAGACCTATTTGAGCCTAATCTTCTGAGGGTACTGATTTACAGCACGCGTGCCACTATCTAACCTGACTGAATCGCGTTTCTACCTTGCACAATGGAAAAAAACACTAAAAACAATGTCAGTCAGTTTATTTGAAGCCGGGATGAAAACAGATATGTTGTAGCAGATTCGACATGCAAACAAAAATTTGCGAACACACAGATTTCGTGAAATGTTACATACATAGTATCAAGAATGCTCCATAAGAAATGAATGAAAACATTCTGAAGCCGTTTAAAAAAAACCAATAAGTATTGTAATAATATAAATTTTTTGACGAACAATGTTTACAGTTATTTAATGCATCATACACATTCATGATCTAGAGGCGCACAAACTTATCCCGCAGTTATGAAAACGATCGCTCACGTAAATGGTGATTACGATGCTCAACATCTCGGTTGATTTAACATACGAAATTATTATTATTAAGTAGTACTTTATCTTCAAAACTAACCAGTAACGAAACTCTCGAGTCTTGAGACTGCTATTTCCGGAGGGAGACCTAGGCTCTACTAACGTTAAACTTAGTTATTCCAGTGCTGCGTTATAATATGAAACTGGATCTAATACACAACCCGAATATATGTGCAATTCCGATGTAGTTACACGCAGCTATCGTGCGAACGTATATTAAAGCCTGATTTATTGTAAATGTTTAGACTATTAGATTTCGAGGCGTTTAACAAGGAATATTTACGATTTGAAACATCAAAAACACAGCCTTCAATGTTTTGTAAGTCAATGGACACCAGGCCTTTTAAAAAATTGTATACTAGTAGTTTAAGATCGAAACTCATGTCGCCTTTTTCAATCACATTTTTGTGACAACAAAGATGGGAAAAACGAAAGGCTCTTCGTTCACTCAAATTAAAACCGACGCCGAATTGTCAATAATTGCATATTAATGCGAAATATTGCACACCTGATTCTTTTGTACAGCATAAGCTCTTCAACGAGCTAAAACCTTTAAAGAAGAAGACGATTTTATACACGATATGTTTTAAACTATTATGTTTGACTTGACGAAAAACGCACAAAGGGCACAGATGAAAGCAAACTAACGTACATCAATATAATGTTTAGTGGACATTATAAAAATGTTTGTTCTAGTCGTAGTTTCAAGGAAAATAATGAGGGCAGCCAGCTGATCAAATGTACAACTCAGCATAAAATATCATACAGTATTCTCTCTATATATGTTCTAGCGAGTTACGCAGTTTAGTGATATCCTATTTTCGGTCTCTGTTATCTTATTATCGTTTAGGTACAGAAGTTTACACGCTTAATTGTTTAGCTCACCTGAAATTGAGCTAGTTTTTCGTTCTGTGACTCCGAGAGCTCCTCACTGGACGCCGCCATTTTGAATACGGCAATACTCGATACCCGCTAGTCGCGCGGCTTCAATCGCAGCAATCACCTAATGCCGTAATGTCGGAATGACATAAACTATGTAAACCGAAAATCTACCAGGTCGAATTAAAACCATGTAGAATCCCTGTTTCCCGTAGGCTACGTAAAATCAATTGTGTTATTACGTACCCTCTTAAGTAAATATTTCCCATAGCGGGTTGGCGACCGCTGTTTCGGATTCGCGAGTGGATAAAGGCTCCGTTTACAAAACGACCAAAGGAAAAGCTTTGGACAGAATGCACGATTGCCAAGGAGAACTCTCAGTCAGCCGAAGAAATGGAGCAATACATATGCAAGTATCCAACGGCAGTTGACTTTCCTTGAATAGTAAAGCGGGACAAAGCGTAGAAAAATATGAATGATAAACAAAAAGCTGATTTCGAGTAATTTCATGTGTAGCTTCAATACTATTGTGGTTATCCCGAGGCTAATGATTTTTTTGTATTTCGATGAACCGTCGGCTTTTCCAATGTTTATATTTTTGATTCAAGTCGCTAAATAAATTTATGAAAGAATTCTGTAGCAGGTCACTTACCTTAATAAGAAAACTAACACTGTAAAATAGACAATAACTGTATATCAATGTGTCATTTAAACAACTGGTTTATCTGATTACTAAATAACAAATTCCACTGTAGATACAAGGACATGCATCATATAAGTATAGACCACAATCTATTTTATTTATTTATATTGCCGATATAATTTTGTCTAATACACTGCTAAATGTAGGATTACCTAAATGTGATGCAAAAATACGTTGGTTTGATAATGTTAATAAAAGACCAAGTTCTTTAAGTATTCTAAAAAAAACTGATGGTTTCACAGCAAGAGCTGCACTTGCCAGATACTGTCACACACCTCTTAAGGTATCATTCGTAAATAGTTTTTTACACAATGTCCGCGTCTGTAAAAGACTCGCTAGTTGGTGCGGCACCACAATCGTTCGATGTTTTTGTAAATTATATACTGTCCTTGTGATAACGCAGTGAGTAACGTGTTTGCCCGCTAAAATCAAAGATTGCAGGTTCAAGTCAGAGCGTGGACACTTCGTTTCGGTGGAGCCGTCTGAGGCCATTCCTAAAGGCATGAGTACTGACGTAAAACACTAAAATTATTAACTAGATACTGAGCGGGGTGCGAGTGGATTAGCCAGTGCTGGTGAGTTTTTCTTTTATCGTCTGTCAAATGACAGATTAATATTTATCACATTTTATGCACGTGAAACAAAAGTGGCCAAAATTGTTCTGTAGAATATAAAACAAATTCTTACTGAGAATGGAAACGACTTTAATCAAATGTTAAGTAACTAGGTTGGTTGTGTTAGCTACATCTAACAGTCAAGAGTGACAATAAAGTCTATCTTTTCATACGAAGCTTGTATGAAAAGAAACACGTGATCAATATATAACATTACTCTTTTTGTCCTTGTGGTAACTGTAGTGACCTGTGACTAAAAGGGCATTGTAACGCATCTGGTTTTAATTCATTGTTGGTGCCTTTCTCATGCTGTCTGATGCTATCTTCGTTTAAGACTGTGAAGTGCAGCCTCACCACTATTTAGAAAACTAGCTTTGCAATATAAACTCCAAGCTTTGAGGTAAGTGTATGTGTTTCTATCGATAAATAATTTCACTTTTTCTTCTAGGCTGAAAATGACTCGAATTCTGAACCAAATAATTCATTCGTTCAAAAACACTGCTACCGGCTCATTTGACTTAAATTCAAACAAACTGGATTTTTTACTTCAATAGCATTTGGTGGAGGTATCAAACGGTCTCTGTAAAGTATCGTAATTATTTATTGTTTCATAAGTTGTATAGCATTATGCTATATAGAAATGCTCTAACCAACTGCTTTCACTGCATTGTAGCCAGAATCTCTGTTATGGAAGTAGATGCAGTGGTTGTCAAAACTAGCTAGTTTTCCGGCTGCTCATCTCAGTTGTTATCCGCAGTAATTGCTTGAGATGGAAAGGAGAGAAATATGTATGTAGTATTGATTAGCTGATTTATGATGCACTAGTTACGAGAGTTTCGTTCTACAGTAGCTTGCCTATTATAGGGATGATAACCTTCGTTTACAAAAGAGTTGTCATTTTTAAAATAAACAGAATACAAATTGTTCTAAGCTGTACATTTAGTCAGCTATGAAGCCAACTTTACAGCATTCAAGCAAAAAAATGCAAATGCTGATAAAGGGATATCTATAATGTTTCCCATAATTTCTGGTATAACATGGCTTTTGATAGCATAGATTTCTTTAACAACAATTTAAGGAATTATTGAAGGATTATATGTTATGATTGAAGTATCATTAAATGTTTAAGAATATATAAAATAAAGAAATGCCTATGAGATATAGGGGCAACGTATCTTACTATACATGTAACACATTAATTTATTTTTTTTACGTCAATACACCTAATAGCGATAGCAAATTTATATTTTGGTGTTGTATTGATATACTTTCTTCGTTTGTAAATGTGTTTCCTGTGATAACCACGAGGATACCGTTTTAGGCGCTTATTGAACAAACACTGGGTGTCTTATAGTGCTGAAGCGATCAATACCTTCAATGCTACTTTTTCGATTTGTGTCATGTGTAGTCTGCACTCTTCAACTCCTCATCAATGAAACGTGGATTTGCATATTGCATTGAGAATTGCATAACTCCGTTTTAGAATATGTCGATACTTAGCTTCAAGATCCTTACACATATACCTTTAATGACCAACTAATTTCAACTGAAAACCTACTTCGAAGGCTGGAGATTATTGAAATAGTGGCACTCGCCTTCAATCGACGTATTATTGAAGCACCGTCACTCAATCAACATCAGTATAATATGTCTTTCGTTTGTTATCTTTGAAATTATAATCGTTTCAAGTTTAGCCTTTAGGTCTTATGCAGATTAAGAAGCAGACCCAGGAAACTAAACACGTGCAATTTATTAGACGAGCATTAGTAGATGCGGAGTTGACATCAGAATCTTTGTGGGTATAAGAGCAGAGTATCTGCGAAGTGGTAGCCCACTATCGTTCTTGAAAATTCCTAGAAATAAAAAAAGACAATATAGATCTCTTTCAAACCGCTACTATGCTGAAAAATAATGTTTGAAATCAATCTTACTGGTTTGAAATAATCTCCTTGGCAGTAATACGAAATACGATTGATAAGATTATTTAAATAACCTTATAATGTTGCAGCTGTGTATGAACATCAAATTCTCTTCGTGAAATTAATATAATTACGTTGATAAAAATAGATTGTCCAAAAAGTATTCAGTTTTAAGGTAAAATTGAAATATTTTTATGTTTCAAAGTATTTAGTACCTTTACCATTGTAATTTAATAATATAAATTAGATATACCGCATTTTCATTAATGACTTTTTATCATTTCTCTGATAAGCCATAATCCCGTCACCCTAGGCGGGAAACCATAACTAGTGATTTTTGCAGTCTTCCGTTGAAACTAAATTAACTTCATTAAAAGAGTTCTCCAAAAACCTAAGCAAATAACAGTCTGATTATGCATGATTCATGGTATAAGGCAAGTGCACTTAAATTTGCCATCCGAGTTCCCTCAATTTTCGCCGGGTAGTCAAAGATGTATGGGCAGAAGCAGCTTACAATGCATGATTCTTTTCCGATTCCACCAGACATATTGCATTACTTTCCTTGACGTCGGTTTGTGTTGAGTCACAGCTTATGGAGCGCATTATTCATATTTTTACTCTTTGCATATCATTGCCGTATGTGAGCCACTTTTCATCACCCATGATCAATAGCTTATAGACATTCCAGCCACTTTAGTATACACTATTTCCAGATATCAGCTTTCAAATGACGCTAACGCCGGCACGACGCGGTTTATGTTGTTTGAGATAGGCGACTTCAAAAAAAACTAAAAAAACTGTGCAACTGATTATTATTGGTGATTATGAAAGGATATTCATGAAAAATATGGCGTCAAATGTAATTTTATATCTGCAATTGACATTCTCTTAATGAAGCAATATTTTTTTGAGATAAACATCGTGAAAAAAAATTACGATTGCCTATCGCACAACAAACATAATCATGTGTATCCATGTATTTCTTCATTTAGCACTCGCCCAATTAAATTGAGACGTCAGTATTTCAGACTGGAAATACGTTCGCATGCTACCTATAAAATTTGGCAGATATTAATTTTCATGGCAGCGTGGCAAGAAATTTGCGCAAAGATTTGCTTTGCTTCTCGATTTAACACATAATTGCTAATTATGTGTTAAATCGAGATTGACTGGTCCGTAGGCGAAGTAGTAAATAGGATGCGAGGCCTACATCCATGAGAAATCAGCTTTAATGAACAGGCTCAGAGAATAAGTGACTTTCATATATTACTTGGGCTATTAAGGTTCAGTACAGTTGCCTTATGCTACCTATCCGTAACATTTTTGAAATGACTCCCATTGAGACACGGGAGCCTTGAGCTACTAGTGCAGAAAGATTTCAGCCTAGCTGTGCTAAAAAAATACTAATAACAATCAACGTTTATTTTAGATGACTGCGGCGGGCCTCCAAGCACCTCCTCCTGTGGCACGTTTATTCCAGTTTGTCGCCTTCTCTGTGTATACGTACACGATATATTATTCGGTTTTTTACGTAAACGTACCTCCTCTCTCAAGGAATTATGCCATTGCTGGAAAGGCGAAATTTCTCACCCAATGGAATCTTGTAAGTAAATGTCAGGCTTATCTAGCGCGTAGGTGCATAAAAATGCAGGGTAAACAGATAACATGGAGATTAATAAAAACTCAAATTTTATGTCCAAATGTTCGACTTAGTTTTTTTCCCGTTAGCATCGTTACTTACGACAGAATAGACCTTTCCCAATTACATTTTAACCCAGTTTCGATTCTGTTATATACTATTTAAACACATTCGTTTTTGTGATGATTTTTGTGTTTTTACTTTCAGTGTTTGTGCGGGGTATATTTTGGATTGTGCGTTCTGCTTAACGTGTTCCCATCCGGATAGCTAATTCGACTGCGTGACTTCCTTTTTTGTTCGATATGCCTTCCGTCATGCATTTTCGTGAGCACTGTTTTTTGGGGTCTTTATGCAATCGACCGCGAGCTAATTTTTCCCAAACGAGTGGAAAAATATTATCCTAATTGGGTCAATCACTGCTCAGTGAGTATTATTCCCTATAATAATAAACTTATATTTATCAAACATTTTGTTGCTTCTGTAGTTATTATATAATTTTATAAAAACTAACACATTCGTTAACAAACGTTAGTTGTGACGTAGTACATCTGGGTAATAGTGTAACAGGGTTAATATTCAAATATAGATCCTTGAGGTGGTTGAAATTTAAAAGATTTCGAATGGCACGCACCGCCTGAATGAGGCCAGTTGTTAAATACCCATCAGAGTTCAAAGGGCTTTATAAATTTGTCGTTGCGAACAAACATATATCAAAAGTGCACACGACGTTAATGATTAGTAAAGCATGATAGCATGCACACTAATTACTAAGAATTTTTCGTTCACTTCTTACAGCATTCTTTGATTGTGGTGACTGCCCTCGTGGAATCGCTGCTTTCTCCTCATTATCAGCCGTCTAGGGGGGCCTCATTCAAAGCGCTCCTTACATGGTTCACCACCTATCTTTTGTGGTATGTGTGCTAGTTTTTTTTATCTGGCAGACTTCTTTTCGTTCAGATTATTAATTTAATGTATAAACATTTCGCACGCAAAACATGCATCTAAAATGTAATGCACGTAAAAGAAACTGGCGTTTTCATGAACGTATCACTATGATTCACATAAAAATTTCCTTTCACATAATTTGTGTTTGTGATACACATCCAAAACAATAATATAAAGCGAATATTTGAATTAACATTAAATACCGAAGCCCCTTTAGCTGTTTGTTTAACTCGCAGCAAATGTTGGCTTTTTGGCTTTGTTTTTGAAATAGCCTCTGCAATAAAGATTTTTACTATGCTACCTCCTAATTCTGATTTTTCAGGGTACTTTACCTGGGTCTGATACATGATGTTTGGGTATATCCTGTTATGCAAGTTCTTTCACCGGTCGGTTTAACTGCATTTTTCATCGGCTGTTTTATTATAGTGCTTGCACTTCACCTTGCTGTCACCAGTATTATAGGTTTGTGTTCCAGTCGGGCTGCTTACACCGAAAGGACAACTCAAAGGGAAGAATAGATGAACACTTGAAAACATTTGTCATTTTTAGCAGTTAGTTTAAACCACTAAGATTTGACAGCTGGGGTCGTTATCGATCGTCCTAGCATTGAAGAGCGCGAGTGTGAAGTTCAATGATCAAATCATTGTTTTATGATCTGCATGGCTTCTATTGGCTACTAAGCCCGGCTCGTGCATAGTTTTACTTTGATAAAAATAATATGAATATTTCTGTTACTGGTTACCACACAACTTTCAGGTTAGTACGTACACTTCGCATCTGACATCGATCAGTTTGTATTAAATCATTTAGAAAACTTGTCCCACTGTTTTATTTCCTATACACTTAGGTTAAAGAATTTAAGATAAAGCTTTAGTTTTAAAAACCTATCAGCACTCAAAAATTTTCCTTTAAAACCCTTTTTATTTAAGCATATTATTCAAGACCACTTTTCCATATAAGCATGGCAGAACGGATCTGTGCTATTAACCTAGAGGATTAAAAATGAGCGTTTGATTATGAGTGTACAAACATAACATAATAATGGATATGTGGAAATCGATATCATTTTAAGTTTTACGTTTGGTATTGAAGTTATACACTATGCAAAGTGTTTCTACGCTTGAATTTGAATGTGAACCGCCTCGAAAGGTAGTGTATCAAAATTTCGAGTTCGCTTAAATTATCTCAAGTTTGACGCCACATTTTAATGGAGGTCATAGCTTATTTACATTCTAAAAATCAGACCAAAATTCCAAAAACGTGAATTAAGAATTTTTAAAATGAAAAGATGCGATACTTCTAAAAGGGAATCTAAAAATCATCAGTATTGCCATCCCTTACTAGAGTTACCAGCTGTACTGGTTTGGTAAAAATAATGTAGAAACGAGGAAATCAATTTTTGCACCAGTGCGTTTTGAGTAGCATCTTCAGAAACTCAACTTTGATCCTTTAAAGTTGTCCAGAAAAGTATTTAGTTGTGAAGAAAACGTCAGAGAAGATTTAGCTGCTGCAAAGCGGGAAAAATCGTTCTAAAATTTTTTTTAACATTATAACCAAAATGAACATTCAGGCGAACTATGATTAAGCAAATGCAATGCCTGGCTGTCTTTTTGGACACAAAAAGTACAACATGATTTTCCTTAAAGTATTCTAAAACGCTTAACTGACATTTTGTAAAAGTACCTCTTTTCATTCAGTTCTGTATGGTTCAAATTTATCTACATGAGGTTACTGTATGCTTAATACCTTATAAGGACTGCGAACGGCAATTTTGACGATTATAATAATTGTTCATAATTGCATAAAAGGGTAAAAGCTTGCCGAAAAGTAAAGACATTTGACCTTTTTAGCCTGTTCAGTTAATGTGCTTAGCCCATGACAGTAGGCTTCTTGCCTTTATATTTAAAAGTCTTTAGAACTGAAACGTTGTAAGGCAATGTGACAAAAGGACCATTAAACATGAGAACCGACGTTCCGCACCTTTTTATGTCGACCCGGAAATGTCTTATTTACAAAGATGAAAGTGCGGTACGGATCAGTCATTTTCGAAACCGGCATATCCACCAATGGTTATCGCTGCATCAGGAGCATAGAACGTATTATGTCTGCCTACTTTTCTTGTCATATTATGAACAAAAATACGTGAGAAATTGTTAATATCAAGTTATTGAAAAATAGTTGCCTCTAAATTTGAACAAAACTAACTCGAAAATTAGCTTTAGGATACATGTGTAACATATTTAAATAATCAGTCTATAATCACTGGCTGTGGCAGCACTGTAATGTATGTAGCTATGTATTTCATTGATAGCAGCACCACCAAACACCTTTATTAATTGAGAACGTTGATCAAAAAGGACAGTCATCCTATTATTCTGGCATTGTAATTTGTAATATATTAATAACCATGAGCGCATACACTAGTTAGCAAAAGCATTGGACATTTGATTGAGGTTCTATTAGCGAAGAATGTTCTAGTAAGCATTATACGATCTGAGTAAGAATTATACGATTATCCATATGAATAGCAATGGATATATTAAATCTAATATATGTATTTGCGTCCCGATGAAGTCTCAATTGATAGTAGCTTCTATAGTACAATTTTTCCTAAATTTTTTTATGATACAAATATTTAGATACATTTGTCAGTGGAATATTCTAATGCTTTATGCAATGGTATAGAAAATTTTATCAACTTTTATTTTTTTGTTTCTAAATTCAAATAGTGAAAATTGCACATGCACATTTAAACCATTGCGATAGACAAAATCATTCACCTTTTACAGAATATAGGATATATCGTAGAATAAATTTTCAATGGATACAAAAAATAAGGCACATTATCAATCTAAAACTTATGAAATGTATAGCAATCCAATTGCATCTAATGATAAATGATAAGCTCATGCAGTACAATTTTTTCTATCACAAAAAGTCCTATTGAACGCACCACAGTTAGATAATATCGGACATTTTTTTGTAAACACAGTACCTCTACGGTCGATATTTATGTACTTCAAACTATAATTCAATCGTTAGAGCAGCTTTCAGCATATAACGCAGTTGGTAAATTGGCTCCAGTGACTTACTAATGGTTACTACGGGCCTTAAGCTCAACATTCAGCATATTCTGTTGAATCAAACAGCATTAGAGCACACTGTTGGTATGTACACTGTATACTAAAGGTTATACATGATTTTTATTTGTATATAGAAAAGACAGTAACTATATTAGGTTTGTTCATATAGGCAACTATTATGATTCATGAATATCTATCTAATAGAAATCTCACTTCAAGTCAATTGGCCTAATAGTGGCTAATATGGCCTATAAAAGTAATAAAAGCCATATGCGATTGGTTGCAATTATATTGTGAGCATAATAATTTTTCAAAACTCTTCAAAACTGACTATGTGGAAGTTCAATTTTCGGTGACGGCTAAAATGTTGGTTTATCTTGATATTTACCTGCTCGATATCTTACTGAAACGGTGGTTTTAATTATAACGGACAGGTGTAACGTTTTAAGTATCTAAACTCTTTGTAACGGCGTCCATTGCAACGGGCATATACAGATTTATAAGTCAGCACTGAATGATGAACGTGTTTGCTCAACGATCCTTAAGATCGACCTTTTTGTGGAACTCTTATTATGAATAGTATTACGTGTATTGATGTCTTCATTATTTCACTGGATGTGTAAAAGGAATATATAGTATACAATTGCACTAAGATTTGCAGCCATTACACCAGCAGATTCAAAATATTTATCTGCGTGGCCTGTTGACAATGAATACTACCGTATGAGATTGTAATACTACAAATCCGTTAGACAATTAATTAAATGATGTCTTATCAAGTGAACGATGACTATCTTTTAACAAATTTGATACCGGTTATAGATTTTAGAAACAATATTTCATTAACTTATTCTAAACTTGAACTGAACCGAATTATAACTGACCTTACGTAGGGAAATTTTAAATTAAATGCTTCAGACAATGAATTGCAATATATTTAACGTTTATCTTAAAATTATACATTTTCCGACTATTGCCCGAACGTATGTAAATAAATTAATATTTTAGGTAGTGAAGAGAGCTGGCTTCCACCACGAAACGAGGCCTGTTTATGCCCGGGTTCGAACCCAGACTACAACGTACTCCTAAGATAAACAAGCAAACACGTTATTCATTAATCTATCACGGGGACACCGCGATAGCATCTGTGACGACGCTGTGAGCCATTTATTGTTTTCATATTTGGCGTAAATACATACTTGGCATTGATTACAGTTGTGCTGCGTCCAAGTACCACTCGCGTAACTGCGCAATTTGCTTTTCGGTGCTTTAGTAGTGTCGCGTGTTTAGTGGAGCATCTTCTTGAGCGGCCGCGTCCTGTCATCACAATCCTTTAATCACGCTGGAGTCCTCGTACTTCTGTCCATTGCTGTAGTACACACCTGATACTTTCCTTCTATTAAAGTTTTTATGATCTGGATCAGGCAAATTCGCACAGTACATCGTTGCTTACTCCCAGTACGATGACCGTCTCATCTCCCTTTTCTGTGAAGTCATCTTTTATTTACACGACAACAAAGTGGACCGGAATTTCACAGCGCTACTGATACGAACTATTGTCCCATTAAATAGCCTATCTCTCACGGTGAACTGGCCCCCAAGCGGCCCACATATTCCAGCGATCTGACCACTGGCTTGTGTATTTACGACTTGGTCCTTGGACAAGTGGCCGATATCCACGTCTCATGGCCCAGCTGCTTCCGCAGGTTTCCATACATTACAATATCTGTTGTGATTTTGAATATAATGTTCAGCCACTTTCTTACATAAATATAATGTCGATTTATGAATTACAGGCATCTTCGATTGTTGTTTAGACCTTTAGGAGACCCACTATGAGGTTGCATGAACGGTATAGCCGCAGAATTGATGCTCGGCTAATGATTGATCTTCACTAAACTTCTCCTTCAATAATAGAATAGAATCATACCATTTGGTTAGAGTCAAATTAATCCTTGATTATATAAAATTATTTACCATGAAAGTATCACTCATATTTTAATGTAATAAAAAACAACTGAGTCATGTCTTCTGCCCAAAATCCTTATCATGTAGTCACTAAGGATTTAGGCGTATCTTAGATTATTAAGCAAATCCCCCAGCAATGTTATATTTAGGCCTAAAAATTCGATCGCAGAACAAATTATTTTATCAAAAAGCCTGACGAAACACATTCTGTATTCACATTCACAACATTCGGACCTATTGTAAAGCAGCATCTTTCTCTTATGTTTATGAGCAATGCTAACTGAAGTTACTAGAGTTTAAAGACTTTCGACGGATGTGACGAAATTTAAAGCATCTCGAGTTCTATAGAATGCTCAGATAGAAAGCAAAATTTTTAATTTGACGCCATTTCTGTTGCTGTTTTGCCTTAGCACAACCACGAGCGCAGCCAAAAAATTGCAGCTATGCGAAGTCGATAATGAGTAGATATTTATAGTGTTTCCGTCAAATACACGGCTTCATTCGAATAACGAAGGGGTGAATTGGCAAACGCGCAATGAGACGATTTCGTTTCAGTAAAGATGACGCTTCTTAAATTCAAGTTAAATCCTCTAGTAAAGCTTCATCGGTTTTTTCGATTAGTTTTATTGTAATTCTTTTAAATATGAGTCCATATGAAATAAGGATAGACAAGTTTTTATTTGTTTAATCTGTTTTTATTACCACAATTTGATTATAATGATTACCTACATTAGCTGGAAAAAGGTAATAGTTGAAAGATCTTTATTCGACACGAAAACGCACTGTGATTCTTAGAGATTATACAGAAACGTCGGAGGTGTGATCTCGATTCGATCGACCAATTGCAAACCGCGTGCAACTACAAGTAGACAAAATGCTCTAGGTCAACCGCAAAAAAAGCAAACAATTCGAAGTTACTGAACTAATTATTGACATTAAGTCATCGACGCATATTCCTTCAGGTTGTTGAATAAAAAAGCTATAGCCGTGAGTCCGACGACATCTATGCAGTATTCCAACAGAAATATGACATTTCAAGTAACTCTATGCGGTGTGTGTCAAACGAAACGGTGGCGTCTTCGTGCGTACAAGATCCGGAATTGGCCGCCTAAATTGCGTGATTTAATAGTTTTAAAACTTTTTGAAGCTATTGCAAAATCACCTTGAAGCCTTGAAGGGTGTTTTTTTCATACGTAATTGCCGTGTGTCTATTTTATCAAAACATTTCAGCATAAACGACTATAATCTTTGTTTTATTAGGATATCGTATGCATCTGTGGTATCCTGGCTACACGAAGAAAAGAGCGAAAAAACATTATCCGAACTTATGCACACGAAATCGGTAAAATAATTCTCACGTGGTAAAAGAACCATTTATTCTTCTGATAGTCATAACGTGCTAAACAGTATGCGGTCATAGATGAAAAATTTTCAAGAGTGAATTACTTATTCTTAGTTAATAATGTGCTTGACTGATACCGGGGAAGATTTGTTTTATACCTATAAGCCTCTGCTCCCTAAGAGAAAAATGTTTATTAAACTTGATTAACTCTAGGGCATGCGTATCCAGAACTGACGGTACCACTAATGTTAGAATAGAAACCGTCAGTTCTGGATACGCATGCCCTCGAGTTAATCCCTTTTATTTCACATTTTTATTCTCAGTATAGTACATATTTGTTGAGCTGAGATTCGGCGTAAGCTTTATGCAGCAGACTTCTAGCTTATAATCTCTTAGACAGTGACAGCAGTCACTCATTATTTCAGAGGACTATGGACACTGTGGCCGTGCGATATGCCACCAACGACATGATCGTTTCCGTCTGGAAGTGTATGATTATATCCTTTCACAAAACTTCTAATAAATAGACTTTAAATAGTTAAACTATTCTTACAGTAAAATCAGACTGCCTTTGAGATATGCCATATTCATGAGTACTCCGCAATTGTTAAAGCAGCGGATCAGAAGTAATGCACACACATGGAGGCTGTACTTCTACAAAACCTCAAATCTTCTATAAAACCACTCAGAAAGACTGTGTTGGAAATTTAAACACTCCTTACAAAAGCCTAAGAATCTTTAGAAGCGGCACATTCTCTTTAAAACAGGCACACACTCTCTTTAATTTGCAACCAGGAATATCCGTAACAACTCCATACGACATCATTAAAGGTACTAAGAGGTAGGAATTTAAGCTTTTCATTAAAAAAGGATTAATTAGAGACATACTTGGTATATTAGATTGAACCGGCTGGATTTATCTACATGCCAGGGACATATTTTTCATATAAATTCCGAAAATTTAGCATATCTCCAAATTTTCGGAATTTGGTTACTGGCCATTCAGAGCAGCGTGTACTGGTCAACGGATCAATAAATAAAGTAATATAAATATTAACAGATAAAGAAAAAAAGAAGTAAATAAAAAAAAGTTCGACCGTAACGAGAAATTAGAATCATTCAACCAAACTGTCTAGTAAACGCCATGAATAGCCTTATTCAAGAGAAACTGCAAAGGTGCTGGTTTTCAGTTCAAGAAGATTATATTGTAAATCTGGTGAGATTAAATAAAACCCTCTTTAATGAAAGTTTTCGCGTAACAAAAGTGGCCCCTGGGACCGAAACTAAAAGCAAGATCAATTAAAAACAACTTTGACGTTGATGAAACGATTAGGGTAGGCTATTTTTATGAATAGGTGCATTTATTGTGTCTCTTAAAAAATATTACAATTCGGACGGCGAATTTTGTAACATCCGTCATCTAACGCCGACTTTCCCCCGTTAGACTATCACTTGTTTTGCTTGCTGTTAAATTTATCTAGTAAAGAAATATTCGATTCCATAGGAGAACGTTCCTTGAAGGCCGATATTTCCAAAGGATCAATGCCCATCTTTGGCGGCAAAGTATTTTTACGTAAGCTTGCCAAGGTGGTGGCCAAAGAGGGCTTGCATGGAACTCACCAATTTCGATAAGTACTTTTAGGTGAAAAGTTAAACCTTGTCAAATATGTATGGTAGACTAATATTTACTGCTTCGAATTGCATAGCATAAAAATAGATACGAGCCAGTAAGCTTATATATTTAATACCGATTCATATCCGGGTACTTCAAACACCCTATGTCACTTTCATTCCAATATTTTGCTAATCTAATTAAAATACCAAAAAATATCAGACTTCTGTTCAAATACTTCACGTATTTCGGACACAGTAGAGAATATTCGAGTAATTTTATTTATGAAATTAAATAAAAATTAGGAAAATAAAATCAGTGGATCACGTTTGTATCCGTTTTTCTACTCGATTTCTGCGCATAGTAGATTAAATTACATAAAAGTTCGACTGCTGTCACACAGGGGGTTAATTATAATTTGATTCGACTATTTGATCACTACGTACAACTAGAAAGTAATGTGTGCCCATGTGAACAAATCTACGAACTGTCCAGTCACACTTGTAATTTGAAAAACCGATAATAAAAAAAAATACGATAACTATATAAAAATAGTTTTCTTTATTCATTGATGTTGATAAGCCTTAAAGTAGCAAGCTGATAATTATAATATATTATAGGCTAGAGTAAATTACAACAATTGGATTAAAAACGATTATTGGAAATTGAAGCAGTCACTCGTATTACATATTATGCAAATGTGAACTAGTCTATGTTAAAGGTGCGTATTCATCGTTGAGATTACACAACAAATGTAACAAAAAAGCTGTACTTCTAATAGCTATTTGAGATAAATGTTACACAACAGTGTTAACAATACTGATTTCTTTGCAGCGGTATTTTCATTGGCTGATATTACAAAACCGGTGTTCAAATAGCGGGTTGTCTATATTTTTATGTATGGAGCACTACTGAGCGAGCGTCCAAGCAGTCTCGATATAAAAATGTCTGTTCGTTTACTAGTGCTGTCAAGAAAACATTAACAAAACTGCAAGGGGAATATCTGACACGAGGCTACGAGCGGTTTAAGGGCCAAGTCAAAGCTGTAATCGCAGTGAATGGTGCTTATGCTGAGTTAGCATGGTCGTCATTCCTGACGACCATGCTTAGTTCATCTAAAAATTTCGTTACAATATTTTTTTTCATTTAGATGCAGTCTAAAAAATAAAGCATAAGAAAAAGTTCCAATGCAGGTGCCGTGCGGTAACAATTATACATTTTTCACCTAATAAGTCGACGTATAGAGTCGACAATAGAATTTCAGATAATTTAGGAGAGAAGCAGGAAAAAAGCTATAAATAGGAATGATATATGTGATCAGATTGAAGTAAAAGCTTTCCTACAGCCATATAAATTGGGTTTCACTTTTGTCAAACAACTTCGTAGCTTCTACTTAGAGATCTCCGCGAAATGCTCGTCCAAGAAACACGGATTGAAGTGATTATTTTTTCTTTTAACACAATTCCTGCCTGAAGTTAAAAAAGAAAATAAACTCAGAGTCGTCGATCACCTACATCTTGATCACTAGTGTATAGTTAATTTATTTTTTAACCCAAACAAGGTCGAGAAGCACTTAAGCGCAGCACTACAAGACCTAAAGAAGGGTAAAAATCGGAGTAGCTCTCATATCAGGAAGGGGTAGGTGCTAGTCTACCCTGACAGCTGCCCCATCTGCTATGACCAAACTCTTAATTTTCACTAAAAGACTACTTAATCCGTATGCGTTAAATAGATCAAGGTCCAAGCATGCGTCGCTTGCCTGGTTGGATATCTTGCTAAAAACTGCAGCGAAAAGAGGATGGAGTAGAAAAAATGTTACAAATGTGGCGTGGCCGATCATACGGTAAGGAACTGCCAAGGTAACAGAACACATCGCTATGCATGTCAAAAACAAAGGCATTAGGCCAACTCCATAATCTGTCTAGCATACCGCAAAAAAGTAAAAGAGATAAAGAAGGGTCGAGCATAGGTAACGACAACGGAGCCTGAACAAGTTAAAAAAGTAGGCTTTGCCAAGGAGAAAAAGGAGAGAAAAGAAAAAGTAAGAGCAAAAAAAGGCAAACGAATCAGCTGCTGATGCAGACGGATTCGTCATGCGGAAAATTATCCAAATAAGCAAATTATTAAAGTTCTGCAGATCAGCCTGAATCACTGTGAAGGTGCCCATAAAATGACCCACAAAGCAACACGCGGTCTGAACAAAGAACTCTATGTACTAAGTAGGACGATCATGTCTACTGCCACTCAAACTTTTATATGGTAGATAATAATTTTGACACAACATATTTGATCGAGTTCGATCGCACAACAATGCTTAGAAATAAGGGTATCGGTTATAGATTCTTTTAAATAAATGTGGTTAGAGCAGTAGGTATACATATATAGGTGCTACGTTGTGTCAGATAGACCAGAAAAATGGTTTTCAAAATACATAGCTCAGTTGATGATGACAGCGGTACGTATAAGGAATAAGGTTATTCTTATGGAGGGTTTTAATTCAACATTAATAAAATGGGCTATTAGATACACTATAGCAAATTTTACATTGTTGGGCAACAGTGTTGTCCAACAATGCAAAACTTACTAACAGCAAGGGATGTTATGGCCGTCAATCACGAGAGAACTCCCACCTTTACCCGAGAAGAACAGAACTTTTTCGTAGACTTGACAATTGTGAACTTGGAGTCTCTGCCTACTGTAGAACAATAGAGAATGGCCGGTGAGGAGTTTAGAAAAAGGACCAGAGATGCATCCTTTTTAGCATTCGACGAAACGAACAGCTCTCTATCTCAACAGTATTAAAAAGCAATGGCAATACGTAAATGCAATCATTAAAAATTACGTGAAGAAATAGACAGAAAATGTAAAGTAGGAAAATGTAAACATAAGCCAATCCTTGTCAATGCTTGTGAAAAGGCATCGCCAAGAAACATTGCACAATTAGAAAAAATGATAGCCGGTAAATGGTGGAACAATGAGATTTAATAGCTAATTCAGGCTCGTCGCGAATGCGTCGCGCTGAGTCAAAGTACGTCCGGAGTAGCTGGCAATGAAGAAGTAATCACAACGATAAAGCGGAATAGGCAAAGTGTTCAAGGAAAAAACTGACTTACCAATAGCCAAGTTGGGCTGCTCAGTGGAAAGAGCTGATAGAAAAGATCGAACCATATTATTATGAATAAATTAAAGAACACAGTACCGCTTCTTTCTTTGACAACCGCCCAAACCCGAGCGCAATACAAACAGGTAATAAGATACCTGAAATAACAGCAGAAAGGTAGAAAATGCCGGAAAAGATAAGTAGAGCGTGAGTTTTTGGTTTATATTGAAAATCTTGCTTCTTTGACGGTGCAAAACTTGCAATTTTTAGCTAGCGGTTTTGGACGCTAAATGAACTTGCCCTTTGGAGAATCTGAAAACGGGTCGGACAATTTTTGAGTGAATAATTAACTAGTTCTTAAAATTTCCATTATCTATAACGAACACTGGAAAACGTTCTGATTTCATACTAGAGTTGCTCAAAAAAAGGAAAAGACGACTGGAAGAAGGGAGTACGGAAACAGCACGACAAAACTTCCTACGACCTGAAAAGACTCCCCGGCTTGGTTCTGGAGATTCACAACTTCATCACTATGGAAAGCCCAAACACCAAGAAAAGCATAAAGGAAGCAGCAGAAGAGGGCAAAGGGATGGAGGACATTTTGCTAGGGGGTGAAAACGGGCCAGAATAGGAACGCGGAAAAAGGAAGAAATGGGAAATCACACAGAACAGATAGCAACTCGATGCCATAAGGCGACGAGGAGAAGCTATACAAAGGCAGATTCAAAACGTGATAGGACGAAAGGAAAGGGCTACCTGTAACGTAGAGATAGCATTTCTGATCTAAAAGGAGTAATCTGAGAACGCATACACCAAAAAGGGAAGTCACGCAAAGAAATCCATGAAAGAGGCACACTGAAGATAGCTCTGATCACCGAGAGATGTGGTACGAGTGCCAAGTTCTTAGAACTCCTTGCGACGGAGCTACCAGGCATGATCCGATTTAAGGCCCTAACAGTCCTTCCGTGTGGCACCGATCTGGTCAAAGACCATGTCCTAATGCACCGCGTTTGATAAAACACCGAATTGCTGGATTCATCACCAAGACCCTAAAAGTAAAAGCTAAAGCTGGTACTCTTGTTGCGATCCACTACTCTCCGGCAAGGAGGACCGACTTCAAGAGGCAGAAATTATTCTCCAGAAGATTATGTCAACCACTAATCCACGTGCCGATCTAGATTATAGCGAAGGTAAAGAAGTGGTAGAATATTTTCTTCAAGATCGCTGGCGAGGTGTAAGACACACGAGAGACGACGGCAGCGGCGGCCATACCAAAAAGAAAGAAGAGACGAAAATTATTCTAAACCATTTAAATCCTTACCGATATAATAGAGAATACAACAGTGTTATGGGCCATCATAATCGAAAAGTAAGCAGAAGTACATGGGAATCAGACGCTTATCCGAGAAAAGGCTAAGGAGAACATCTTCTAGGAGTAGGACAGGGAAAGCAAAAGGGTTGTTGCCTGGGCTGATACCGGCTAGTACAAGGTGGTACGGAAAGGCCTTCAGTGAACTAACCTATCATTTGATCCAGATCCTCGCTGGCTATGGACGTGTCCGAACTGATATCCATAAAATAGGACAGGAGCTCAGCGACTTGTACATTATATATAACGCTATCGTGTGCAACGATATCGCACACTGGAGGATCGCACACCTTTCTAGGAGAAAGGGACAGGAATTCAAACAAAACTAATGATGAATTGGATAATATAAGATGAAAAGAATAAAATGTGTCATGTCTGAGCACGTGACGAGGGCTCTAAACCACACATGCCTTGGTGACATGGCCTACCTACTATACTGCGACCAAAGATACAAAGAGCGTTGTCAATATAACCATGTTCATGGCAAGGGTAGAAAATAACAAAATGAATGAAACGACTACTGGCAATAATGATAGAGTCGATAGCAATATACACATCTCCAGTTTGGTCAGAGATAGCACTTGACAGGCGAAAGACCAGGAAGACATTGTTATGTCGGCAAAAAAGTACTTATCATTCGAGTAGCGTAAGTTGCAGAATAACGCTTGTTAGATGAAACCCTGGGACTTGCCCGCCGATAAGATGACAACTTAAAGCTCACGACTGCTTGGACTGCCGCGCTCTGGGAATGGTAGAATCAATGGGTACGAAAGAGACTCGAGCAGCGGAGTCTTGGTCTTGCTCCTTGATCCCGGATCCGACTATACCGAGAGATGCTTCATCTATGTACTGACTGATCGAAAGGAATTGCAAATACACATGTTCAAGATCAGCAGAGCACACGTGCGCATGTGCTCAATTCTCAAAAAAAGAAACAGACGAAATCGAACTACATTTCCATATGCTCTGTCTTGTAAGGTACGCAACAGACATTGGTACAAAAAAGGGTACCGTGAACCTCAAGGTAATGCCAAAAATAGTACCGAACGTGTACAGGGGGTTATAAGAAAGATGATATGGCTGTTAACTTATCCAGTGGATAGGATTTCAACAGTCTCCAGAAAATTGTAAGCCCCCTAGTCTGGCCTCAGTCATAGACTACTGGAGAAAGTGTCCCACTCGTGTATAAATGCATTCGCCTGTACCCGTATGAGCCAGGAGAAAGAAAGATAATCCTTCTATAGCACGAGTATCTTCTAGATTATTTAAGTGGGATTTAAATCTGTATTATTTATATTCAAAGTATTATTGATAATCTTGACACCGAAGTTCTAGGCATTGTCCTAGTAACTTACATCTATACATGCCGCACTAAGTTTTGACCGAGCGAATTGGATAGATTATAGTTACCTTATTGATTTCAGCATCTATACTTATCGAAACCCAGCGTTCGTTTGACGAAAATATTGCAATCGTTCGTGTATCCAGAGTGGAGCTTTTTTCACAGTTTTAAAATTCCAGTGCCAACGGCGCACTTTATATCAATTTTCACAGAGTGAAGCAATTTAACAGGCATGTCTTGAGATCGAGACACAGGATTTCTTCGGCCAGGTGATTAAGCAAATTCTGTTTCGCATCCAGCGACTACTGCAGCGGATAGTAAAAAAGGATTTATCCTCATGTTAGTAGATCTCACACATGGACTGTTCGAATTTCGGTTTCATGACCATTAGTTTGACAGATAATTTCACGTCTACATGAAGATAGGCAATATAAACTAAAGGAAATCATACCCGTACATAAAGACTGGGCATGCGGCACCCGTCTGAAACTCTACTTAATCTCAAACAGTCAGTCTGGTAGCTCTCCCGTTAGGTTATCCTTCTAGCCTTGATATCTTGTTCATCAACGCATTCGATTAGCTTTCGCATAGACGTATCTTTTCCATTTTTCAGCAACAACGATAGATGTTACAAGTACCGCGGTACATACGTGAAAACCGCAAATTAAATCTTATATCTATTCCATGGTGTTTAGCATATCTTGGAAAAGGGAAAAATCGTGGCATGCTTTTATCAAACCTGATGAAAATTACTTTAAAGTAGACAGCTAGGATTCGAACGATTAAGGTACGTGCGGTGAGTATGGAGGCAAATTATCAAAACCTTCTTGACATGGCGACACCACCCTTCCATTAAATCGCTCTTTGTAATAATTAATATAGACTGTCGGTCCGTTCGTTTTCCCAATTCGTTGTTCATGTCAATGTTCGCTTGGCATTTCAAGTTAATATTAACAATTTTTTACCAATCACGAACTACTTCCGCTGAAATCACGATTTTACAGAAAAGTTGCAAAAACGTAAAAAACTAAAAACAGTCCCCTAAATATAGTGTTGTATATATTTTATGGAACCCGTATATAAGGAAAATAACTTTTCAATATAAACCTTTCACAATTTCTTAACGGCTGTCGAGCAGATCACCTGAAAAGGATCGCTTTGCCAATATTAGTACTACAGGAGAAAATAATAATCCCTCAGAAAGGTATCCATTTAATCGGTTCTATCATAGCTTTCTTCAGGATAAATCTTTAGTACCCATGGAAACAAGCTCGATGCGACCACTTCATACAGTCGATTTGGATTGAACAAAAACGCCTTTGCACGGACGGACAAACAGACATATGGATTTAGCCAGTGCTACGGCCTGATACTCTCACGTAGATTGGGCTAGATAGGTTGTCTATGGATGAATAAAGAAGTGAGGTTATTGGTGGCACTGATCGAGCATATAAGAGCAAAATGCATTTTATATTCTTTCCATAAGAAGTCCTTCTCTTTAATGCTGCCCAAAATTCTAACGTTTAGAATGTAATTTATTTAGTACCTAAATCACTAGTATTATTTTTTTAGCAGTCAACATTGAATAGGCGTAAATGTGAGAGCAGAACCTTCTTGAAGTGTCATTTTAAGTCCTTTATTGATTCAGTTGATAAATTTAACTACTTGCATACGTATTATGAAGTTTATATTAGTTAATAAACGCATATATATATATATATATATATATATATATATATATATATATATATATATACGTGAAAAGCAGTCAGCGTAAGTAAGGGAAAGAAAAAAAAACTGATTTTCCGCCTCCAACTAGACCATTGATTTCTGAGATTGGCTTGAAATTTTAGCCCTACATTTTGTTAAAGGCTCCCGATGGAAGTAATTAAAGAACCTTTGTTGCACATAATTGGAACACTACTATTGGCAAAATTACTAAAAAAAGTGCATTTAAAACAGCAAAAAAACGACTTCGGAGTCTAATGAATAATCTCTACCGACTTTACTTGATGTAGCATTAATAGCTAAATTAAATAATATTTAATAAATAGTTACTCACTTTTCCTCGCACAGGCGTCTGTACATTCCCTGTATAGCATACATGGCCGGCTAAATGCATATCATATTCAAATATGATCATTTTTTTGAGCGAGTATACAAAAGGTCAAGGTTATCTATATAGTAAACCTTTAACGCGAGTATCTATATGAACATTAAATTGTGTAGAATGAAAATCTTAACTTTGCATCGCGGTTTAGGCGACAACAGCAGCGACTATTTTGTGGAAAAATACAAGTTTAAAATGCATCTTGTACTATACTTAAGGACCATTTGTACCTCAAATACCTCAAAAGCACAATTTATATAACGGCTTGATCTTGGAATTGATATCGTGGATTCTGTCCAAAATTATACTGCCCAAAAAGGCTCTAAATGTTTAGCTGTCGACTTCAGGATTGCTAATGACAGATTACGTTCTCGGTTTCCTAAAAGCAAAATTTACTGCATTGATTATATGAGCTAGCGCGTAATTATTATTAATCGCCCACATGCTCACACAAATTTGACTTCAGCGAGCCAAAAAACGATGTTTCGGATTCGATGCGTTCCTGTACGTAATACGTGTTACCACAGACAAACATTACATGTAATCATTAAGACAGACCTTTAATCCGATAAAGTTACAATCCGGTTCAGAATGCCTCTTAAGCCTTCTGAATATAAATTCGGAAAATAGAACCTGAAGTTGTTACTATAGCCAAAAGTACCTGTACATAAGCCGCGTGAACCTACGATCCATGTTAGCTCATAAGCTATTTTATAGTTAAGAGTGTACGAACAATTAGTAACATCTCGATTAGTAATGAACGTAATAAAGAAGTAGAATATAACTCTAGAGTTAAAAAAATGGGCTTGTGCTCAGGACGAAATTACAGTTACAGTTTAAGCAATATATGCCTCAAGGATAAAGTGTTTATTGTAACACAAAGATCTTGTATGAAATGTAAGCTTAATTTTGCCTACATACGACAAGTTGTATTGTATATTAACATTTTTTAATGATTTACTTATTACTGTACTATACCTTAGCAGTTATAAGACAGTGAGTGACGAAGGAATAGATTTTGATTTAAAAGAAGTTCGAGGCAGCATATAAATTATTAATAAGTAGTAAGAGCCTGCCAAGGAGACAAAATACCTGTCACCAAAAAGTATAGGAGAATTCATACGTCAGTTCTGTAGGATTCAACAGGAGAAAGGAGATATTTGCAGGTAAAAAAGCGGTTTTTCCGGAAACGAACGTTGACGAGTGTCTAAAGCACTGAATAATTATAGTAACCTTGTAGATACGTCGCTAGAAAGAAAGGAACTTGATCAAGGCCTGTACATAAAAATAATAATGACAGATGGAGGAGTAAACGACGCGTAGATACGTGTTTTTAATTAGATACAAATATAAGCGAAACAAGGAAATATAGAACTCTATCTCAAGGCCAACCATGTTTAGCAAAAGGAACCTTAGATTTATAATGGTTCCGAAAATAAGTGATAGGAGTGATAAGGAAAGCTCATCATAACACTTAAAGGTGAGACCCTATATAATACCATATTGTATTATCAGCTAATTAAACGATGAACCTTATTTCTTGGATGTCTATGATAAGGCAGAGAAAAAACGAAACGGTTTTTTTTTAAAAATGAACGAGAAAAAGGGTCTTCGCAGGAATTCCAGCAGAAATAATCAAAAGAGAAGCAATTCAGATAAAGCAGATATGTAAAAGTTGATATAAACGCTTGGCTATAGATTTTGCGAACGCAATATTTTTAAGGTAAAATTACAATAAAAAATGAAAACCAGATGAAAAGAAAAAAGGGAAGTAAAGAGATCATTTGTCCGGGCCTGAGAAAAATAGAAATATAACATACGAGCTATATATAATAGTGAACTGCAACTCAAAGGTATCATTGTCAAATTGTTACAAATACTCTATTATACTGTACGTACAACGGTTTCAATAGAAAATTTAACACTACAGCAAAGTAATTAGGCTATCAAAAGAAACAGAACTGATAAAAGAAATACATTCGGACTACAAAAAGACAAGTACGCAAGATAGTAGCACTGAGTAAAGACTGTTTGTCTCCATCAAGATGTTCGTCACTAAGCAAGAGCATTATGGTCGATATTTTTGAGCCACGTCTTAAATATAAGTACATGGAATGCATGCCTGGTTGTGCAACTTTGCATATATGTCAACCATGTGATATTATTATGCCGTAAAAAATAATTTGAATGATAGCTTCTTTATTAATAACCTCTGATCAAGAAGATTTTACTTTCACTGACTTTCATTTTGCTACTAATTGTAATTATAATAGAATTTATTCCATTGTTATGGTTTTATTTTTACAGTATTTGAGTCACGTGGAATATTTTTCTCCCTCTTGTTTGCGATTTGTTTATCTGGCGGACACGATGCTCTATCCAGTATGGTTGGCATTCGCTCACCAACAAACTGTTATTGCCCTGTTCGATATGGGCTATTCAGATATTTGTATAGAAGCATAAATTCAAAATCAAAAATGTATTATGTATTCGTATTCATTTAAGCAATCACGATTGGGTTATCTGTCGCTGCCCTATGACAGAAGATTAATATGGGGTCTTCACTAAAGTCCATTTAACATAGAATAGATGAACATTTATGGAAAGCTATCTTAGTGGACACGTATTACTTCACAAAAGTTACCTTGGAGTACATAATTTAAATATATATTTATAAACCATGCCGGATTAAAAAAATGCAGTCACTGTTTATGGAGCTCCATACACCCAAAACGCTGAAATCTGTGGCAAATTGTGCCTTGGAGGAATCAAAATCGGTCTACGAAATTATTTGTAGTACTTGTATGCGAAAATACTACTGTCAAAGTATTAACAATAATAAAATCCATGCGCGTTTTTATAGTTCCGCAAGTTATGCGGCTATCTGCTTGTTTTTCGACATTTGCCTAAAGAAGTTTGTTCCATTAGTCTTAAAAATTAGTTTTCTTGTTTTTCTTTTGTTCTTCCTTCGGCGCTTCTATCATCTCATTATTTATTATTTATAGCAATTGCTATTATTATTATTATTATTAAATAATAATAGCGATTGTTGTTATGATGAGCTTCGGCGACAATAACGAACTGTAAGCTCTCCTTCGAGAAAAGTTCGTACATTAATTTTAGCAAACTTACTAATGCTTTAATTTGTCCCAATTGAAACATGTGGTTTTAATCACTGGAGTCCCAGAAAACGACCATATACGACGATAAAATCAATTGGCTTTTGGTGTATTTCAAGACTACTTCTTCAGTTGTGTCTCACTAATAATAATAATAATAATAACCGCATTCTATATTGTCTTAGTTCTTTTATCTTTTCGCTAGCCTGATTTTTTTATTCATGGATAAATTATATTAACAATTGCAAGAGTGTACGATGATTAGTTAATCTCCCTGTGCGCGCTCCGATCCAGTGCAGATAATCGACTGGATGTTATCTACTGTAGCGTATACGATCTTTCTTTTTCCTACATCATCTCCAAGGAATATCTGCCTTTGTTAACGATTTGTACCTTCAACCCTTTACCCCGACCTTCTGACTAAGATTTTCTGTCTTTGCACAACGGTTCTGCTTCAGACACAAGTTCGTAATCATATGCCCATTACATTGCAGCTCTAGAAAGGCTTGTACGTCAATACGCAATGCGTTTCTATTTGTATCTCGGATTCAAACCATGAAGTGATGACGCTAGGAACAATTCATGATCCAACCTGAAAACCGGATAGATATTCAAAGGACCACTGTTAAGTCCTGCACGACTACCAAAATTGTTGCTCAGACAGGCATGAGTTGAAGTCGGAATGCTGCATGTCTGAAACGATGCTCGAAAGCCCGTACTGGACATAAAACTTGAGAATACAGTTACGCTAAGTGTCGGCCACCGACCGATCTACTGACCACCCAACTGGCTGGGTGACTGATCAATAAACATATTTGTTTAGCAGTCCGTTTCAGCATTATCCCATTCAGAGTCTCCTTCATCAGATTCGCTTTCCGAGTCCGAGTATTCAAGCGCTACTCGTCGTGCGAGAATTGACGCCACGTCGCGTGGCTGTACGTTTTTCTCTGATTCTTTAGCTTTGTTATTTTCTACTCTCCGAAGCTTGATTCCCTCTCGTATCGCAGCCAAAAGATCGCTTCGCGCGTCTGTCACGTGTGACGCCATTTCCTTTGGCGGCACTGGCTTCAATCTAACGTCACTTAGAGTTTGGGTAAGGTTCAATATAGGGGGAGGTGGTGGTAAGGAACCATTCATTGCGCCGTTCATCGCTGGCAGAATAGGTGGTTTAACAGGATTGCCACTGTCAACGTCACCTGCTGCTACTGTGCCATTGGCCAATGACGATGGAGGCGGCATTCCGGTGGCGCAAGGTAAAGGTGGCGGAGGCGGTGGCATAGGCATTGGTGGAGGAGTCGGCGGAGGAGGCGGCGGTAGGTCCTCGGTTTCAGGTGGAGGTGGAGGTGGAAGGGATGGTCGCCGAGTAGGCGTTAACGGCACTGCAGCTGTACCGGCTCCACCTGGAGCGGCTGGTGGGGCCGGTGGGGCTATATTTGGTCGCGGCGGCGAATAACCCCCAGGGCCAGCAACAACTGACGGGGGTGGTGGAGGTGGCGCCCCATTCGCCGCAGAGCTGGAGTGCTGCTGTTGTTGATGCGTGGCTGCTGCTTGACGGGGCGGGGACGATGTAAGTGGCGGTGGTGCAGGTGACGATTGAGTGGGTCCCATGTGTTGCTGCTGAGAAGCTGGAAGTGCTTGACTCGTTTGGGATGTCGAGCCTGCCCCCGCATGTGGAAGTGGCGGAGAATTGTGATGATGTTGCTGTTGTGTGTAGAGTTGCTGCTGTTGTTGTTGTAGAGGCGGCGGAGGAGAGGGAAAATATTGTTGATGGCTTGAAACCACTGCCGGTGGAACTTGGGTAGTGGTAGTTGGGACCGGTGGCAGTAATGAGGTTGTTGGATTGCCGCCGCTACACGGATTGATCACCGGGGTACCTGACGCAAAAATAACGATTCCAACATTATATCTTATCTGCCATAATGTACTAGCTGTTAAGTCACCTTAAACCGTCGTAGTCGAATTACACACAGTGGCCATTTCCTTGTGAGCAAAATTTTTGTCAGGTATTCCGCTATACATTTTTTTAATAAGTTTGCAATTTTATTGTTTTATATTGTCAGGCCAGAAGTCAAACAATACTATTATTTGACCGGGCAATTTTTTCTCTGTATCGAACGGTCGTTCAACTAAAAAGGAATAACGAAACTAGTTGATCTTTGTCAGATTTAGTGATTATGAAACAAGCTGTAAGTGTATCACATTTCATAAAAGGGTGGTTACTTATAACTTAAGTTAAAATAAGTGACATTAAATGATCACTCAGGTGGCTATATGATTTATATTTTGGGTTGTGTGTATATACGAAACTATCGATTACTGACCTGACACAAAATTTTATAGAACACACTTGTCGCTTAGTATAACTCAGCAGATAACAGGAATATATATCTGTATATTTAATTGTTTTTATAATTAGTCGAGTCCACATGGTATCGTTGGCACATACCTCATATTTAGGATAATCGTAATCATGGACCATGACTAGTCAGGAATGATTTTTTGTATCAGGATCATAGATAGCCATGACAGTTACAGAGGCGGCCAAAAAAGCAACTTCGAAGAATAGTGCTTTTACGGTTACAATTTTTCCGCACTTCTAAATAAAATACTAGTCTCTAAATGTGCTGATATTTGACTTCATGAAGATTTATGATGGATGAATCTTTAATCTAGTAGTAAGGGTCGCCTTCTTCACCAAAGTTCAGAGCTATTTGAGCCCATACAGAGTCATTTGTGGCCCACATAATCATTTTGGACGCCTACATGAATCAAAAACGTACGGGTCTGTGACCGGAACTTTCTTGGTTCGTAGTAAATTATCGAGAACCTCTTTTATAAATGCACTAGTGTACTGTTTATCCGGTGAAAACGGTTGATTTCAACAGCTGTGTTAAATGCATTCTGACATTCTAGAAATCCTACTCAAAATAATAAAATAATATACGTTGGGAGATATTTTGGTAGGTAAATTATCTGCGCCCACTAAATTTTACACAATAGACTGCCACGTCTATAATAGTGCGTGGCTCGAGCATTTTAAAATAATTATAAAAAAATGACTTCCTTCACTCGCACAGACATTGAGTAAAACAATGATGGTAGTAAATATTTCTCAAAATTCTTCAGATACAGACTCAGATAAAACATTATATCTATGTCGCATTTATTTCACCAAAGTGACGGTCTCAGACACCTTCACTCAATGTACATTCTTAAAACGCTTATATATCGCTGGTCAAGGCACAGATACGAGAAAATCTCCAGTGTATTTTCACATCGGTCGATATGAATAATAAATATAGTGCATCCTTCTTACCATAGATTTCAACAGGAGGGGGTAAATTTGTAGGGAAATGTGGCGCTTCGTGCGCATGATGTCCCATGTGGCCTCCAATAGCCATCCCCGTAGTACACAAGGTAGTACCGGAGCCCGGTACCCCTTGATGAAGATGAATTTCGTTTTGCGCTGCCTTGGCTCGCATTTTCTCTTGTGTACTGGATGGCTGACGAACCTGCTACAAGAAAAAAAATAGAATTAATTCACCTCATGATTAACAGAGATAATAGATAAAAAGGAAGAAGCTCTTATGAACTTCTCCCTGGCATGAAGCATGGGTAGAGCGTTGTAGCTTCTGTCAGGTTCATTTATTAAGGAGACCCCCTGACAGCTGAAGAAGGCTGAGTCCAATTAAGATGAAAATGAAGCATGCTTACAATTTAAAGGAAAATGTTTAAAAAAAACAGGCAACGGCTTTTACTTTCCTATAAACCAACCTAACGAATTCTAACGAATAAAGCATATTTCTTCGCGAACATAGTCTCGTTCGCCAAATTACTTTCCCTCCCGTTTTGGTATTTCAAACAAGCGCTGATCTCCAAAGCCAAAAAGGTATGGAAAGATATGATTTCGACAAAAAAAAACACGCTCAAGAGTGCGATTTAGAACGGCCATTTTACCTTTTTAGAATCCTTCTTGCGACCGTCCCGATCCTGCGACGTATTTTGCTTTCTACCAACACGATCTTGCTTGATTTTCTGTGTATCTCGCAACATTTCTTGCCGCCAAAGTTCAAAGAAGTATGTAGGATCCGTGTAAAATTTAAGGCCATCCTTACCGTCATCGCGATAGCAGTTAAGATTACCCAAAGGAGGTGGGGGATCACATGCGGCGTACATTTCCTTCATTGCTGCAGGCATTGATTCTCGGGAAACCACCTGTGTAGGAACGAATGAGCTAATATTAACGAGCGAAGCATATTTATTACCATAATAAAAGCAAATGATAAATTAATGTTTGCTCTTCCTGTATATTCAGAAGGTTACACATGCGCACACATTTACCTTTTAACACGATACGATTATTAATCCAACATGTAATATTTAGGACGTCGTAAAATGGCCAAATGTAACACATTTATCTATTGAGCTTATTTATTTAATAACCCGGCTTACTTAGCACGACAGTGCAGCAAACGACAATAGAAATAAGAGTCATGGAGGGTTCATATTTTATCGTCAAATGAGACTTCTACCAATTATATTTTTTGCCAAGTTGTACTTGTTTGAAAGGTTTAATACCTAGAAACGTATATTAAAGCTTTTATTTCTCACGAGTCACTGCCTGTAGCATTGGTATATCGGAATCAATGACAATGATTTATGACAAAAGAGTCTACGAAAGTCATACGAAAGTCTACGAAAGGCTTCTTCTTAAAGATTCTGCTAGCTTCTAATTGAACTTGAACGCTACATTATTATCTATTTACGATTATTTTATTAGCACCACTCATTCGTTCCCAATTAAAATAGAGCGATGTTCAGATTCATCCGTGGCTAAAACTTGAGACGCACCACAAGGAAGGAAATGTTATTTCTACTAACTGATTCTATTATTACGTAACAACTAGAAAGCCGCATATATAATTCAGCTTACTAAAAACAAACGCACTATTAATCCACTTCGTTTGTCTGGAAACGTTTCTTATGATGTCCTACACATGACTGTTAGTATATTGGTTTATGGTGTGATTTCCAGCTCATGCATGCAATTAGTTGGGTTCTATTCTTTATTGTAAATGTAATATCTCTTCATCAAACTGTTGTGCCCGGAGTGCTATACAGCACCTTTACGAATTTTAAGTGCCATATTTTAACGTTTTTATTTTGTATTACGAAATTTTAAATTTCCTTCGATTGTCTATTCAAAAACTCGACCAAGTACTGTTCGTATTTTTTAGTCACCTTTTATCGTGGAAACTAAACCATACATCATCAGCATACACTATAGTTCTAATATAGGGATCTATATGGGTTAACTAATGACATATTAATATAGGATGTAAATGAATGGTCCTAGGATAGTGCGTTACGAGCAGACGGATCTCGCTTCTCCACATGAGGATAGGCTTCTGACTTAAACAACTACGACAGTGATGAAACTCTGTATCCACTCCGTAACTTAGTAATATGTCCAACAATTTTGTCTTGAACTCAGAGTTGAGAGCAAAATTGAAGCTTCTTGTAATTGGCTAGCTGCCGGCAGTTTCACGAATCAATTTTCTTCTCTGATGCATCCTAGGTGGAAGCTTATGTAATTTCTCTGCGTTTCTTCTAAATTTATAGCTTTGAAAATTTCTAGTGAACTGAGCGATATTGTGGTACGTTTTCCTATAATTCGTAAAGCTTTTTCGGATTTAATATTAGCTCTCATAGAAGGAGTGCACATGCTCTTGAAACTTTAAAAATACATATCGTCGACAGTAATACACTTATCAAAGTACTTTAGTCAATACAGTGTAATGTCACTTTTATCAACCCAGAATTTTCTATTTTTTCTATAAATTTTTATTATGAATGAATCTATCTTCTGAAAACACCTCTCCTCAAATATAGGACCTGGTTCCATAAGGAATTTAATCGGGTTGGGTGTTGTCGAACGTATCGTGGGTGTCTCCAGCAGAAAAAAATTGTAGTCTCCCTATTTGGACAAGACAAGGCTTCTGCCTATCCTAATCTAGTTTTCCACGAAGACAAAAGGTGATTGCATTATCGTAGGCATTCAAAAAAAATTGGGCGGGACGTGTATTTCCCAGTATGATGATTTTTACACAAGATTATCTCCAGAATAGTTTTTATAAAAGGATTTCTGCTATATCCCCATATGAGTTCTTATATAAACTGAGTAAAACTTTGGCTGCTGCAGAAATTGAGACAGAAAGCTCTTTCGAAATCTGTTTTGTCTCCAGCGTCTTCCCGAAGTCTCCGGAGCGATCTCATGGGTTTGAGTTAGTACGACTAATTTCGTATTTAAAAAAAGAAGCAGCGCCCATATATTAACCACTGATTATAATAGTACCTCAAACGAAGTGCCTATGACAAATCTCATAATAATTTCGAGAACAACGCATTCTTCATATGGTTTTCGGTCAATCGAACAGCGCGAAAGTCATACTTTCGCAAGACACGCGTAAAAGCCATCCCCAAATTATAGCTTTTTAATAGTCGTAGCGCACAACATTTGATGTAAGAGTTGTGAGAAGATTTCGACCCTGGCAAGTTTGATGGTTATTACATAAGTCACCAGCTTTTTGACAAACCAGAAAAAAATATTGAGTCTACGGCATCCAATGTCCATGATTAAGTCCACGTTTACAAGGGAAATGGTAAGCTCATTTATTGGCTGAGGTTTTATAAAGTACCTATCTAATATGTCCAACGTAGAGAAATTTAAAAAATAAAAAAATGCGTTCCTTACTTTTACAAGTAATGAAATCAGTTATTCAGGTTGTTCTGGAGAGCAATACAAAATTGCTGTTAATATTAAAAGGGGTAAACACGGAAAATCAGAGGACGCAGGGTGTAAACACACCAAATTTGAAGGTATGCGATCAAGGGATCTCTATCGATCAAACAAATCTAATAATTTCGTGCCGATATATTCTCAAATTGGAAGAGCCTTAGAGGTTCTAAAGACTACAACAAAAGAATTAGCAGCACTTGTATTTGAGAGTCCACCACCGTTCGACGTAAAGACTCATTGTACTAGTTAGTAATTTTAACGAAAAATAGCAATCAGAGTCTACAACGAGTCAAAACCGCGAGCACTGAAAAAATTTTTACATTATGAGTTTGAAATTAGTAAATGTGTTGGTCTAATAGACAAGTTAACATCACACGCTAATTTTCATCTTCAGAACTTTTAACAACGAAGTCGTCGACTTCAAATTTAATAACGAATGCTAAAAGTCGAAATTTGTATAATAATAATACGCAGAAACCGAATAGAAAATATATATTTCAAATTAGCACTTTATTGCTAGATCGTTTCGTATTTTTTACAATAAAAAGCCTCACAGGTCAAATTGCAAAAAAAAAACATTATTTTTGGACGAAAGAAAGCACTGTATAACCAAGGAAAATGTTTGTTTCCGTTGCTTGAGAAAAACTCATGTAAAGAATAAATGTCGTCAGTCGAACTACCTTAGATGCAAAAGTAGGAATTATTTAATAATGTACACAAATTTTTGCACAAGGTGCAACATATTTGCTTATTCATTTGCAATCAATTCACATAAAGTGAACAAATCGACAATCTTACGTTTAGGCTACGTATTAACAAAGACTAGCAACGCGAAAATTATGCAGGATTATCTTAGACCCTGGCGCAGTCAGAAATTATATATCGAAGGATTTAGTTAAATCTCTAAAACTAAGCTGCATTGGAGAAAACACCATAACTAATCTTCCACTGGATCGGATTTCGATTGAAATAAAAATTGCAGAATCTACGAAATTGACCGTCAGAGTTAGTTCTGTTGCTAAATTCTTTCACCCCGTAATTTGTAAAATTTTCTCAGGTCGCAAAATGCATACTTCAATCAACAGACGAAACACCATTTCGAATAAATACGGCAAACCTTGCTCAAAAGTGATCAAAATTCTGATCGGATCTGCTGCGTTCGTTTTCGCCAATATGGCAGGCAATATTAAATGACGGCAACGGCAAAAACGAGATACTATTCACTTCTCACTTAATTCGACCGTGCACTAAGTCGGAACTTAGGTTAGTCATTTGCGACTACCAAAAATAATATCGGAAATATATTTTTTATAGCATATAAAAATATAGGCAGAGAATCATCGCCCAAAAATGAATTGTCTAAGCTGAATCTAATGCAACTATTTACAGATTCAATAAAGCGTAGAAACTGCGGGAAATATGAACTTAGCTTTCCATTTAAAGTGAACATTAATGCTTTAGGAGATGACGAGAATTTAACGATGTTACGTTTAAACTATTTTTTCCTGCAAGCCAAAAAATGTAAAAATCTATCAATAAATGCAGATGAAGAAATGAAAAGACAAGAGGAAGTTTTGCGGAACCTGCATCTTTTTGGAAGAAAAATAAATCCATTATCTGCCGGTGTTAATACTGGCAAAACAACTTCTCGTAAGATCAAAACATATAGACGAGCATGCCTTCCCACAACCAAACAAGATAAGACTGGTAAAAGATGCAGAAACATGTCAAAGCAACGAAGCATCTCCAAATGATTGCCTTTTTTTTGGATCCAAATATTCTAAAGGTAATCTTTGTTTTCGGAAAAGCGTACGCGCATAATAAAGAATATTTAAAAAGCATTTCTGCCACTTAAAACCACTACATTGAGCGTTTGTAAGATTTAGGTCGCCTCTAAGTATCTCGAAAAATTCCTATTAGTGTACTGATGCTTATAACGATACAAGTAGAAATACTATTACAAGAAATCTGGCAACATAAAATCAATCGGGACCACAGTTTGGAAGAGAACTGAACATTTTCTGCGACGCCGATGGCATATAGTTGTGTCGCATATACCAACGCTTTGGCGACAATCTCCTTTGTTATGGCTGGGGCGCGTGTAGGTTCACTTAGAGGAGATCTCTCACTCCACAGATTTGTACTATAGCGTTCATGGCAGCTCGTTGAACATAAAAAAACAATAAAAATATGTTGGTTAAAGGAATCTGCAAACTGGTAGAAGCTATTCACTATAAACAAAGTTTGCGAAAAACCAAACCGATTATGTCAGGATGTCAGATAACACGGCAGATACTTTCTCTAGAGGTGCACCGTTCAGTGAGCATATGGCCAGCTTGTGGAAAAATGGACCGTATTGGGACGACAGAAAGCCGTTGCCAAACGTACGTTTAAGCGAGCTAAGCAGACAACCAAGGAACACTATTTGAAAGTCTAAATTTAAACTAATACATATATTGTAAGCTTTGTACTATTTCAATAACCACTGCCAATCCGCTTGACTCTTCCATGCTTTCTGACTGCATCAAATTCTTTCGCATGCTGGCATTTTTGCGAAAAGTGTTACCTAAGAATCTCACAACAAAGTTAATGCAAGCAACCACATCCAATTTACTAAAATTTACTAAATTTACTAAAAGGCTGAGACAGCGTCAATAGAATACATCCAACATGAGCATTTTATCTACGGGCTTACCTCAGGCTATAAAAACATACTGAAGCGTAGTAAAATAATCGTATAGAAAAAATGCATACTCAAAAAACGTCAAAGGTTTAATTCGTTGCGAATAAGTCAGAACAACTTCCCTACAATAAAAAAAAATAATAATTTTGTTTGGTAAAAATGGCTTCGTCAAATTAATGGTAAGTTGTATCCGCGCTGGTCTCCATGCTGGTGGCATATCATCCACAACACATGAAATTCGATTAAGGATTTTTATCTTAAGCACTCAAAAACTAATTAAGAAAGTGATTAAAATTTGCAAGCTATGCATGAAATTTAAAGGACTGCTTCGAAAAAAATTCCAAGTTGAAGAATCAAGCGAAGCCCCCTATTTGCTTATGCAGGTGTAAATTTTACTAGACTGGTTTACATAAGAAACGATAACAACATTGAACGCGAAACTTACATTCTTCTATGTACCTATACTTTCCCAAAAGCGATTTACTTAAATTTAGCTCCAGACCCTGAGGTTACGAATTTATGCTTGCATTAAGAGGATTTCTTAATGGGTTCTTTTCAGCATCTAAAATATCCTCTGATAACAGCACAACACTTGAAAAGGCTTTGAAGGAACTCAAATTAGTATTTCAGCACGCAAAAAAAACAAAAAAAAAGACGTTCAAAACGAACCGACTAGGGAAGACACGAGTAAGCATTTTGTTACTGAAAAAGCACCTTTTACGAACAAGTGGTCAGCGTGGTAAAAAAAACCCGACGTAAAATATTGGGTACCAACGCACCATCGTTAACTATCCTTACTCTGTCGACAGTCACAATGGACACAGATCAAACTAGGGCAATTTGCCAGCCGATTCTTTATTTGGTTGTCGCTGCAAAACAACTCTATTAGTAATGAAAAACATCCCGAAATTCTTTACTGATAAAACGCCGATTATTTGGTGGAAACATCGGAAATTTCTGCGAATAATAGGTCGTTTTGGAAATTTTTTAAGCAGGAATACCTAGTATTTGCGCGAATTAGACTTCGGGTCGAAAGAAGATTACCACAAATCAGAAAAGCTTGTTTCTTTTAAAATGTCAGCCCCTCACTTTGCGTCAAATTCTGGATCCTATCAGCCTAGAAAAAACAAATCATTTTAAAAGATATTCATTACTCAGGCTCGGTTCAGATAAAATATTGAGACGCTCAATTAGACTAATTTATAGAATAAAGTTAAAATGATAGTAATTTAATTGAAGATAAAAATGAAAAATAAAAAGGTAAATATTAATGCAAACAAACATTAGTTTAAAGGAGCGGTAATGCTTAATTATGCCGGTAATGATTATACTTTTCCATGGACTACCCTGCCGTCCATTAAAGGTTGCAAATTTATTTAAGAGTATGCAAAAGGATAAGGAAGCAATAGCCCAAGTCGCTTTAGATCGTTACTAGAATTAAGATCCAGTACTGTAGCTGGTCATCTGTGGTAACCGTTGCTATTTGCAGTATTGTAAGAGTACGTGCACACCACATATTTATTCACGCACTGAACACAGCAAAAATAAACGAGCGACTAACGTTTTATCAGCATTCGCTCTGTTAACGTGTGATATTAAACTGATGTTAGCTAGGGAAAATGGGGTTGTAATTCAAAATTTGTTGTGATGCATAAAACGGTTTCAGAGTAACCATACAATATATTTCCAATACACTATAAGGACGGAAACGATGCCCCTATACTTTAACAAAAAAATTAAACCATGCTAACACAGAAGTGTCCGCATTTATACTCTACACTCTTTAAACGGCGTGTTACCGCATTTTATGAATTTGAATAACCATGATTGATTCCATATTTAAAAAAGATGAACAGTGCATATACTACTTACTATTGACTAGAAAAGAGAAGTGCAAACGAGAAATTTGGTAGTGAACTAAAATCAAATTCAATAAAATATAGTAATCTCGGGTACGGTTCATCTTCTCGTCTTTACACATGTAGCATGTACGTATGCATATCTTCCAGTCAGTCAGATTGGAAATCTCAGTACATTAAAGTGGAACGGCACTAAAGTCGTACTTCCAGTAAGCACGCGCAGGAAGGGTTACCAGATTACAGGCTAACCAAACGCCGCGTGTATTCATGAGCTTATATGCTAGTAGCGCGCAGCACCGTGAGTCCCAATTTGTTCGTGATAAATTGAAATTGCCCGACATGACATTTATTCTTTCAGAGTGACACATACTGTCCAATTCACTGTTTCACACCTTCTTTTGAGACATTTGAACTGCCGGTAAGGGATAAATAAGCACAAAATATATGTATTTAAGGTGTTACACAATAAATCGATCACGATCAACGCTGATTTATTGATTGCTACATTGATTTGCGAGCACAGGGTTCCTGTCTTTATGAGGACAAAGAAGTCTCTTTGATTTCTATCGCGCCGGAACTTCTGCAATTTTTCAAAAGAAAAGACAATTCTGCAAAACCTACGTCTTCGGGCAACGTAAATTCGTTAGACGAATCTATTTGCAGTTGTTGCTAATAAATAGGCATTCAAAGGCAGATATTGAATACGGTGTGATTCTTTCCCGTGCTCTTAGTGCATATACTGATCCGACTGTAACTAGCAACTCCCCAATTGATTCTGTATGGGTATAGCCATACATAGCTCGGTGGTTTATTCGTTCAATTCAAACACGATCATTTCAGTGTTTTATACGTTTTCATCAATCCAATTGCAAAAAGATTTGTGTTATTATCTAAGAGAGTTAGAATGAAATACTGGATAGAGTTACAAATAATAGATAATATTTAAGTCACCGTACTCAGCAGCTTAAAATGTGCTTGTGCGATTGCTCCTTAGGCAGTAAGAAACGTTAAAATTTCGTAGCGCAGTATAACTCACCATTTCAAAATAACTACATACAACTGGAAGCCTTCTCGCAATCGTGAACGCAATAATGAATGCTATGTTAGTGGCTCACTTAATCTTTATGACCTACTTAGTTATTACCATCTGCAAGTAATTTATACAAATCTGTAGAATATACATCTGACCATTATTAGTACGCGCTGCTTGGTGCGATCTTCATGACATTAATCCATTCAATCACTATCTCTAATTGAGTCTCGTTACTAACAGCCCTCTTTACTGGAAGTGCCTTCCGAACGTCAACAGACAAAGTGGCTGCACAAATAGAGCTCGTATTACCGAACGAAGCACACTTACAAACGTATGCTAGCCTGGCTGTTAATTTTAGTCGTCAATGGAATGAAAACTGAAAACAAAACAGACACGATAACTATAAATGTAGAATGGAAGTTACAACAAAGAAATCTCGAATCGTCAGATGGCCAAGCGTTATTTTCGATTAATCAAAGAATTCACCGCAAGGAAAAAGCTGATTGAAGCGGAACTAGCAATGCAAGTTACTGGCCCTTTGGAAGATATCATATTATCAAATAGCAAAAAGCGCAAAGCAAGTAGGACACAACTCAGCTCCAATACCAATATATACATTTTATAAGGATGAAAGCTTGAGTCGCTCATCTATTCGGGTTTGCCACTAATCCCTCATCGTTTTTAACTCATAATTTTACAAAATGAGCTTAAGTACCTGAATATGCGCACTGGTGTGGGTACACTATCTTAATTCTACTGAGCAGTCAGGGTGGACTGAGCGGACAATTTCTACTTTCTTAAAAAAATACGAAGATATTATGATAGTATAAAATAGAAATTTGTTGAGATCATATCTTCATCTTATAATCGGCAACCCTTATAGTAATAATTAAAAATACGATAAGAAAATTTGATATAAAATTGTAACACTGATGTTTGTGTCAAGTTCCGGTCTCTAACGCACATCTCACATATGTTCCTAAAATTTGAGAGCAGAGACGTTACACCAGTAACCTTACTAATTGCAACCAAGACGGTAGAAGCAGAAGAGAATATCTAGCACTGCTGCACTCCGATGCATATAAACATAACCAAAAAAAACAATAAATCATTTTCATCCAAATTTTTACGGTTTCCTGGGAACTACCGCGCGTAAAAAGCTTACTTAGAACGTAGTTCGAGTACGCTTCAAATTCAAATCTCATATAAGATTGTCTTAATCCAAATAAATCTGTTCAAGATGCACGGAATAGTACAATTTATAGAAATAACTAACTCCATTCTACACGCTGTGAACCGATTATGTTCACTTCTGTTTACAAACGTTTTTATTTTCCAACTATTTAATTACTAAGAGTGCTATCTTAACTACTCAGAACAATTGCTTGGTAAATAGGTCCAGCGTCCGGATTTCTGCCTAGATACTTATTCGAGCACAATAATTATTAAAAAATAATTAGCCATTTCCGTTGCAATATACATACCTGCTGGTCATACTGGATAGTGGATTTAAAGGCTTTACGTTGTGTAATGTCCTGTAGAGAAACTTCCTCCACTGTGGAATCCAACTTTGTTACTCGGACCGCCAAACGCTCTACCCGTTGCTGGAACAATGTATAACATACGTGTAACAAAAATAAAAAATTTAATTCGAATGTTGCTTGGTTGATATGACTTCAAAAATCATGCCAGTTATAATGGGTCAGCCATGTACTGCATACCTATTGAGAGGAGATTAAGCTCAAGCTGATTTCGGCAGAAAAACTATGCTAGCTAGATAAGAAATGACAATATATGTTTAGCATTAAATTGAAAAATAAAACAATATTTTCTTAAGGAACGCTACAGGACTGACTGACCGTGTAAGATCAAATACGTGAGCCGAAAAACACAGACTATAATATGTATGTTCGGATTCACGTAGCGGACCTTACACGGTCAGTCAGTCTCGATACTGCAATATCAAAGAGACTATGCGCGCAAGGATAATAGATCGCACATACGTATGTGAAGTCGGTTACTCTTAGTTCGTTGATATCGAAGTATACCTTAGCACTTCGCGGCAAATAAGTATGAGTCTATTTAAAGGCGAGTAGTTAAAACCTAATTTAAAACCGGATAGTATTTTTGAGATGACCAATATTCCTGTGCCCCAAATCATCAACAGCCATAAAGTTCTTACTAGTTTCTTACACGAATTCAAATTAATTATCATAATTTTCCCATGCCATCGATTGCCGTACGTTACTTTGGCACACACTGTGATCTGTGACACGTTATTCAACTCTCCCAACAGATATTTATCAGCTCCATAACTCTTTTTACAACAAGCGGATTGCATTTATTTCTTGATAATTCCTATGTTTACACTGTTAGAGTTGGTATCAGATGTATCCTGCATAAAAACTAAATACCAAGACTAGGTCACCGGACAATATTTGTTGATTATATATGAATTTCAATACAAAAATTATCAAGTCGGACATAATAAAGTATCAACTTCAACGTGTACTTATACAGGTACTTCATACAGAAAAAAATGCAATAAGCTAATTTCAAATGTTACGCTGACTTACACGTGGATCCCTTATATGGGAAAGTGTGTTGATAGCGATAAAGAGGTGAGGATCATAATGTCCTGGATAAATCATAAGATGAGATCTCTTTCCCAGGACCAAGAAAATAATCTGAATAACAATTCAAAAAAATTAAATCGCCGAAAACATAGCTTTTGCCCTCTCGATCCATTGGTATTTTATGAATATCAGCATACCCTGCATAATGTAATATGCCTCGTTTAGTTCGTAAACAAGGGTAAATAAAAGCAATGAAAGACTTTCGCCTACCCTAACTCATTACCCGTCCTTTCAAGTGAACACAATACCGCTGTAAAACAAACCTGCATAAATTAATGATAGTCAAGGAATGTGTTTCCCAATGCTACAAGAGGCAAGTGAAATTTTAGTATGAAGAATTCATATAGGTAAAAAAAATTCCCAAAAAGTTTAGATGAAGGATTCTTCCAATTTTCAAAAAAGATCATTAAAAAACAGCCCAAATAATTGCGGTTTTTAAACAATGTCACGTAACTTACAATATGTCGAAGCTGAGACTATGACTACTTAAGGATCTACGAAATATATTAAATATTTCTAACAATGTGTTCGAATCAAACGTATATATTGACAAACGTATATATATTTTTCACATATTCAATAATAAATAAATTATATATTTTTATACTACGTATTTTATCTCCTTTTTACAATCGATTTATAAATCCTAAGTCTTAAATTGTCGTAATGAATGTAATTCTTTTTTGACATTTTCTGTAATATCCGTACCGCAACACATCATGGAATACACAAAGTATTTGGCATAAGTTAATTACCGACAGACAAAAACCGGCAATAATGTTCAAAATACATCATTACTGTTCCTGGTTTACAAATAGATATTGGTTGGCCTATACAAATTAATCTCTATTATTATATTACTGTAGTCTATGGATATTAATTATGCCGAGGTTTTGTAACGGTATGAATTTATATGGTGTCCTAAAAAAGAACTAAATTTAAAAATTCAACATTAACTTAATACTGGAAGACAAATAACGCCATCCGAAATTCATTTCACTAGTAATTTGATATAAAAATGAATGTTGATTTCTATATTACATTAAAGTCGTATGCCGGTATTTTTACGAAAAAAAAACGCTTACCTGCAACTGGTTCGTCCTATGAACAAGTCCACTGGCTTCTTGAAAGAGCGCGCCGAAGAGGTCATCTGCATGTTTCGAGAGACTGGACAGTTGACGAATCACATTTGCTAATGACCCGTTTGTCACGCATTCGAGGTCGTTGGCGACTTGCGCCACAGGCTGACCACGCTCATCAATGGGAATGGCGCCTCGGCAGACATGTATAGGTGAAATTATGCGTTGCTCCAAAGGCATTTCGATTGCGTTTTAGCAAGAGAGCATATGTAAGCGTCCGGTGATACAGCTGCTTACAACAACTATCGTAGCTAGCTACGTGTGATTGAACAAAGTCCACGCAAAGAGCAATTCCTAAAAATAAAGGCAACAGTTACTGGCTGATGATACCTGCCGAATTTTTTTCAACAGCAGCAACTGAATTAAACCTGATGAGCAAGTGTTAACATACTCTATTTTGAAAATCGGCTATGGACAGTCTTTATAACACTTGCGAAAAATGATTCCGCAATCCTACAAGACTACCATGAGTGTTTTTTATTTATGGTTAAAGAAAATTACGTGTATTTACTTGTCGTGGAGGAAGAAATATTCGTGTTTTCAATTCCAATTGCCCTTATTACGAGTAACAAAGTACATATTATAAACACATTAAAAACAAGAGGAATAGATTAATGATTAGCATGTTTTCGGAATAGCTTTAAATCGAATTGTCTGGCCACCTGTTAAATTATTTTTTCTGGAGTTAGGTATCCATGTAACCCGTAATTTCTATATAGTGTAACCTATTTGCTTTTGTATGCAGCTCTATTACTTCTATAGCATATACTCTGTTTCTAAATACATAGCTCCGATAGTCTTTTTTTGGTCAAAGAATGAAAGCAGAAAATAAGTTCATATTTTGTGTACCGTCACCTTTTAATATTAATACTTCGGCTTAAACCGTTTTAGCTGCGAGCCAACTAAGTGCCGCGCTGTATGACTTAAGTAAATCAACTGGGTAATATGTTCAATAAAATCAAGTATCTATGTTCAAATTATACCTAGTCCCGAAAATTATGATTGGAGGGTGCCACATGATGTGTACTTGGCTTTCAGATATGAAATGAGCAAAAACATTATGTAAGATACTCCTTTGCCAGATCAAATGCCATAGAGAAATAAAGCGGAACTTGCCCTAAAATATCTCAAAAAATAGATTTTTGGCAGGATAATTGGTAAACTATATTACACATTACCATTCTCTTCCCTGACAGCGAATCCGTTTACAATATAGCCGCTCAATATTATCAACATCTAACTCCTTTTTACGATTAGCTTCACAACAATTTTTTCTAATGCTACTCTATCATTAAGTATACGACCTTTAAGTGATATGAAACGATGGCTTGCTTATTTTAGACTTTACCGTTTACAGAACATCGTACGCGCGTTTTTTCTTTAATCTTCAGTACCTTCATTGCAGAGCTTACATAGAGGAAAACAGATAGTACAAGTTGCTTTTTGACAATTTTTATTAAGAATTAGTTCCTGTCCAGCGCTGGGCTGCGGGATTACAGATACGCCGGCATACATATATTAACAAGAATGCAACAGACTGGAATTTAAAGTTGGATACGTCTAAAATACGAAGTTTAAAAGATGCTTTTGTTAGTATAGTACTTGTAAAATTTTACAAGCAATATTCACAACATGATTCTCTGACTAAATTTACCAGTCTATACTGCAAGAGCCTTTATCGATTTAGACCTACAAACGACCTAGAAATCATTAATTCTGTTATCGAATTTTACTCAAATCATTTGCTACAAGAAACTGCTCATACACTACGCGATCCACGCAAGATCCGCTATTTTCCGACTTTAATCGGGACCAGTTCAAAACCATTTGGCAGGCTGAAAGTGACTGATGACTTAAACTATTAGCAGATAGAATTTTGTATATATTTGCACCAAAATTTTGATTATTTACAACTACAGACTGACAATATTATCAAAAATAATGTCCACTAAGTCAACACTAATTGTTAGTTTCTATTGTTGATAAAGAGATGATGATGAAACCCATTTAGGGCTAGTGAAAACACTGACCAAAAAGGCCCTTAGCGAGACTGTTTGTTACATGTTTAGTCAATTCAAGAAATAAAAAGGTTAAAGGTTATGAAGGAAACGGCAATACCTAAAGATCTCAAATGGAAGAAAGACCTGCTATTATCATAAAAGCTTATAAACAAAATACGGATATTCTCTGAAAAGGAAACAGCCGGTTTTGCTAAATATCTCCAACTCAAGATGTATGTGTAGCGCGGCTGTCGACAGCGCACAGTGTGGCTCCTCTATGACGAAGCATAGCTTTATTGCCACGATTCAGTGACGGCCAGAATCGAGGAAAAAATAGTTAAGCGATATGCCCTTCCACTTTCATATCCATCAGGTAAAAGCCTGCGCGATTTCGATTACTTTCACGCAGATTCCCTGGCGTATGTCACCGTCGATCTGTTCGAACAAGCCATGGATTACTAGATGAGGTATGATACTACAAATTATAAGTATGCGGTCGGTGAGAAGCTTCAAAGCGCAAACTTCAATGTGCAAGCAAGTAAGGGAGATCCAATATCTACACAAAATTAAATCAAGGAACTATTTTGCATATGCTAAAGGTGTCATTCCTTATGATCATGTTTCTTGAATATTATTATGACGCACCCAATTACACCGTAGATTCGAGACCTAAAGCCCTGGCTAATCTATCTCAAAATACCGATTCCTTGATCTACAAACACCATTTTATTAATAGCTATAAACCTGTTAACGTATTGCTAAAGTAGGCTACATTTAATAAATTCCAATGAAATTTATTTTGGTCTGATAACAGACGAAGTGCTCGAAGAAAGCTCAAATTTCAGTATCAAAAAATGCTGTTTGAGTCGTAATAATGAATTTTCAAGCGATATAAAACTAAAGCTTACTAAGTATCTTTTAGTTCTCCTCGTAAAAAGTTTTCCTCGAATTTTTCAAAAACTACTGGAAATAACGTAGATGAACTTCTTTGAACAAAAAAAAATTCTTTGCAAGTTCGTCCTGCGCGGAATGACTAAATAGTATCTGATCTTTGCCCAAATTCCAAAAACGGTGTACTATTTTCTGCCACGAGGAGTCTGTTTTTTTATTCTCAAGAGAATCGGCTTTCATATAATATCAAGAATGGCGGATGAACACATGTTCGTTACGATAATAAGCCCGTCAAACTTTTCTCCAATTTAAATGTACTAGCCTGTATATATAAATATATGAAGGATACGGATAATAACCAGATTCCAATGTTTCATATCATACCTACGAGTTTGACTAATTATTAAAAATTTGCAACTGATTTATACTACCACCCCTTCATCACTAAATATAGAATAGTACAAAATGGGTATTTATTGATAGCGAACAATGTCGCCACAGTATAATTTGTATAGCAACCTATAATCTATCATCACCGTTAGCGAGTTAACCAAGTTTTAAAATCTATCGTAATGTTGCAGTCGTATAATATGACAAATGATAATACGTGTTTTGCAAGTGAATTTTCCGTAATCATCAAAGAAAAACTAATGTGGTTTTATGGGTTGTACGCTCATTTCATAACCAAAAATAAATAGCTCCGAGTCTTGCTTCCGATATTGTTTCAAGTGGCCACCTTCCAGTGCAAAATAGGGTGTGTCTACCCTCGGGTTCTAATCTAGACCACTTCAAGTGTCCCTAAATTGAACGGGCAAACAAGATACTCCTCTGGAATGACGTGGACATCCTTCCCGTAACCAACAATTATTAACATGACTAGACGAATAGAACTATCGCATCCTACTTTCCCGTATCGATTGCAGTGCCTTCTCTTTTTATCGGTCTCTCCGATTCAATAAGTACTCAATCGATTAAGTTAAAATTTGATTCTCACGTCGAAATGTAACGTCGAATGCTATATTGAATAGAGGGCACCTGGAACTACATTCATATCAACACATACCTAAATATACTGGAAAATGGACATCTATGTCCACCTCTCCTGTATATTTGATATCCAGATCTGATACATGAGGAATATAGGTTATCGCCATCAGCAACTCATATGTTATTAAACCATTGCAAGCTTTCTTTCTGTAAAGCAGAGGCACGGCTCTCACAGCATAGCTTCGATGAAAGCACGAACAAAGAAAATTAACAATAATGCACCGGGACATTCGAAATCTTCACGTAAACTATGATAATAACAAGTAGATTGCACACTCAGTAGTCCCATTGATGTGCACAAATATTTATATTATGATCCGCTTCTTCAACCCGTCTTACCACTTGGTTCCATTGTTATCTCGCAAAAATGAGAGGTACTTTTTAAATTTTATTGAATAGGTTTCATCTGCTACATTGATGTCGGGGGCTGAATGTGAATGTATTGATATTCATACATGCGCAGATTTAAAATGTTCGTCAAGGATGAAGTAACGCTAATGAGAACCGCCAGAATTAAACTTTTACGTTGGAAAAACAAGTGGTCTTATCATGCCCTGCTATTTAATATAACTAAAATTGGCAGTAAATATCCAATGATCTCATTAAGCAAAAACTTAAATCAGTTATAGCTTAAAGTGGTTACCGAGGTTAAACCAATAAAAATTGAGCCTGGCTTATCAATATAAGATATGTATAATAGTCTAAGATTTTTTTTAACAGGTGATTAATTATTAGTTACGGTTTCGACATTTACGTGACCCGAAAGACGATTGTCTCAACGGTGCAGTGATCACGCACTTCCCTATAAAACTCCAAGACATGTGGTGGTCTAGGTTCGAAATATGGCCTAAAAAGACTCACTTTATTTCATATTGTAAGCCAGCCGTCTGAAGCAACGCTTAACGCCAGTAAGAGACGTAAAACGTAAAATACATTGAAACTCTCTTTGTTCAGGTAATAACAAAATACAATCAGGTTAGTCAAAAGAAGCCAGCGATCATAAAGAAGCGAATAACGCACAAGACCAATACCACGACAAAGACACGTCACATTATTTTACTTAGCTTTGCATTGCGCTTGACAAAATACGGCAATTAGGAATTATGTAAACTACGTTTCAAAAATGTATTACATTTAAGTACCTTCGAACCACAGTACACAATTTATAAGAGAAAAGTCAGGGCAGTATATAGACACATAGGCTTAGCTAGTATTTAAAATTATATAAAAAGACAGATCTAAGTGATTACCTGCCTAATGCATGGCTCATTTCATACAAAAATTAGCACCTTTACTTTGAAGCAGTGTCTATCAGTATAAAAATTCGTAAGATACGAAAAACTCATTGCCAAAGCT